AGTTGTAGTACACATTGATTGATGTTTGCTTAACGTCCAGTGGCAAATATTTCACTCATGTTTGAGAGGACGATATAGTGCAATGCATTATGCAATTATTGACAATGACTATGATGGGAAAAAAAAGATAAATAGTTTTTAACTTTTTTTAAATATCTTTAAGGCACAATCGATCCATAAAAGGGAATACAATCAGTGTACCGTAACAGAACGTTATAGTAAGTCAGGACGATCTTTTTACGTGTGGTTGTTAACCGCAATGGAATGTCAAAGAGCATTTTTAGAATTTTTTAAATTGAATACCCGATGATTTCGGAAAACAATTTTAGCATAATTTATAAAATTACGTAATAAAAACAGCACCCGTATACTGACTAGATTGATACATAAGTAGTGACATGCGGAATTTCCCTTTATTTATTTTATGATTTAAAGATTTATTGCTATTGCGGGTATAGAAAATCATTAACCGTAGAGAAGAATTTAAACCTTGTTGATATATTTCAAAAGGAGCGTTTTTGTGCATCTGATTCAGACTGTTTATATAAAATCAGAATGTTTGAGATTTAAAAGTTATTCCTCGTCCAGGATTTAAACAGCATGGATCTTAAACTGAACGGAAAGCGGGTATGTTTAATTTACATAGATAGTTAAAATAGATCAGTAGGTCATAGAGAGAAGCTAACCCGGCTTTTTTTTTATCATACCCCAAAAGGTGGAAAAGTGTTAAAAAGTGCACTGAGACAATAAAATTTCTGAAACTCATCACGTATAGCCCTAATTTTTTTTTGATCCACAAATACATATAATACTCATAGATATTTGAGATAAAGGTATATAGCTATATATATTGTTTATTTCAATACTGTTGTGCTGCGGTCTCATTCCACATCCCCTTTTTCGTAATCACTTCGATTATATAATAAAAGGGGGAGCTGGAAAAACACGTGACTGATGAACATCTGTAAAAATCATTTCCCTCCAATCAAGATTTAATGCATTAACGCAAGGGGAAAGACATTTATTTAAAGCCTTCTTAGAACTGTTTTACAAAGTATACGCTTCATAAGTTTGTCATAAGTAATTTTGACGCGCAAATACTATAGTTTTAAAGGCCCTATACAACTGTTTTATAAACGATAACCTACGCTTCATAAGTTTGTCATAAGTAATTTTGATGCACAAATAATAGCTGGGGTTTCTCTCTCGTTAGGGTTCCACACATCCCCTCGCCATATTTCACTCAATTTCATTTTCAGATCAGATTTCCAATTTTACAAAATTTATAAGTATCTCCCCTCAATACATAGATGGCAACAGTATAACAAGATTTAATCGCAAGTCACATAAAATGGATGAGTTCATCCTGATCGCAATAAACTGCGGTTGGTCATCTGTATATTGTCCTCATATCGATTATGATGTCACTAGAACGTGAAGATTTTGAGATTATTAAATATCATATACATTCAACAATTTTTCAGTTTTTCTTATCAAATAGAAATAAAGTGGATTGTATTTTCTTTTCATTACAAATACTCGATTAAGATTTAGTTAACTTTATTTTGGTAATTCACTCAGTGGAATTGATACATGGTGCCCAATTATGAATTAGGACTTCAGTTTTAAGTTCTACTATAAACATGTTCTACTATGAATAAAAAAAAGAAGTGGGTTTACAACCCAAACGACTTAATCTGACCAGGGACGATTTAGATCATAAATAATATAGTGTGTAAATACAGGTCTATTGTTGAAGACTGTACATTGTCCTCAATAGTAGATGTTGTTTTGTTGGGGTCTATTGTTGAAGACTGTACATTGTCCTCAATAGTAGATGTTGTTTTGTTGGGGTCTAGTGTTGAAGACTGTACATTGTCCTCAATAGTAGATGTTGTTTTGTTGGGGTCTAGAGTTGAAGATTGTACATTGTCCTCAATAGTAGATGTTGTTTTGTTGGGGTCTATTGTTGAAGACTGTACATTGTCCTCGATAGTAGATGTTGTTTTGTTGGGGTCTATTGTTGAAGACTGTACATTGTCCTCAATAGTAGATGTTGTTTTGTTGGGGTCTAGTGTTGAAGATTGTACATTGTCCTCAATAGTAGATGTTGTTTTGTTGGGGTCTATTGTTGAAGACTGTACATTGTCCTCGATAGTAGATGTTGTTTTGTTGGGGCCTATTGTTGAAGACTGTACATTGTCCTCGATAGTAGATGTTGTTTTGTTGGGGTCTAGTGTTGAAGATTGTACATTGTCCTCAATAGTAGATGTTGTTTTGTTGGGGTCTAGTGTTGAAGACTGTACATTGTCCTCAATAGTAGGTGTTGTTTTGTTGGGGTCTATTGTTGAAGACTGTACATTGTCCTCGATAGTAGATGTTGTTTTTTGAAACTGGTTTGCCTTGTAATTGATGGAAAGAAACCCCACGTTTCCTTTTCTTTATATTTAATACTTTTTAGGTGTTAGACCACCAATTCACTCCCTCCAATTTAGAACGTATGTAAAAGTAACCCTACTCTGACAAAAAATAGTGCTTTTTATGTCATTGTTTACTTAAACTAACCAACACATTGCAGAAATGAAACTTTTGGTGAAAGAGAAATATATTTAGACTATTTTGAGCCAAAATTTACTTGTCTGTGAGTTTGCATTACAAGTTGAGGATTAATGCACTCCATAGTATACTAATTTAAGATTTCCAGAAAACCATGGGTTATTTTTAGTAGTACTTGGCTTCCTAAAGGCAGTTCTTTCTTACAGGACTTTAACCATGGGTTGAAAATCGGCATATAGAAAGGTGGACATGTATAATTCAGCATATACCTGGTTTCTATGAAGTTAAACTTTAGGTAAAATATTAAGAAAGCTGTGAAAATTGCAAAATTTGTTTGAAAAGATAGGGATTTTGAATTGGTGGTCTGACACCTTTATAACGGTAAACACATTTCGTATAAGCATGTCACGTTTTATCGTTGAAAATGACTTTTTTCTCATGATATTCATAGACGACAGTCACCAATACTTATACAAGTGGACATGTGTGTTATTATCCAGTTTAAATACTTATTTTATTTTTACCTATATATTCTTTAATTTTCCTTGTGACACAGGTGGTTCAGTTCTTACACAGTTCTTATGTCACACTTTTTACTGAAAAGACTTTTTAATACGTCTGGGTTTTATGTAAAAATTTAAATTATTTCAATAAATCATATATGTTTGTGTGCTACCGTTACGTAATAACAGGAAAACAACAACTGAACGTCGTAAATAATAAGTCGGTTAGTCCTGATTGTACTCGAAATTGAATGTTTTTACTAGTACACGGGTATAAGTAAATGTCTGTGTGTTTTTTTTTTTTATTTATTCTTTGTTATTATTTTTCTGGGGGAAGGGTGGGCATTTTTTATTACAACCGTTTTCAAATTTTGATTTGAATAATATAGTTAAAAAGGAAACTTAACAAATTTATATCAAAGGTTTATATCAGCAATTTCTCTGGCAAACACGAAAATCAGTACCGATCAACTATTTTTAAAAGAGTAATGCCCCTTGGAAATATTAAGTATATGAAAAATTGCATAGTAAGCGCTTTCACAAGTACAATTCTTGCCAGATTTTTATCAAACTTTTAACAGATGTATACCTCAGCAATGTTTTTTACAAGATCGAAAATTAGTGCCGATCAACTATTTTCGAAAGAGTTATGCCCCTTTGAAATCTACCCCTACTTAGCTAACCTGTGCCTGGAACATCTTATTTCCATTTTTGAGGTTACTGACTTCAGTGTCCCATCCAAGCTAGCGATTGCCTCGAATATCTCATTTCCATTTACAATGAGGTTTGGTGACTTTAGTGCCCCTACCAAGCTAGCGTGTGCATAATTCCATTTACTGAGGTTGATGACTTCAGCATCCAATCTATAGCGTATGCCTAGAATATCGCATTTCCATTTACTGAAGTTTATGACTTTAGTGTCCCATCCAAGCTAGCGTATGTCTGGAACGTTAACATCTCATTTCCACTTATTGAGGTTGATGTTGATAAGCTGGATACCCCTCTCTAGTAGTTTTCCCTTAGACATCGTACTTGAATTACTTGGAGGTTAATTAAGAAGTACTTCTATATAAAACTGCTGTATAATATTAAATTGATTCAGGTTAAAAAAACTCGTGGTAATAATACATGAAAGGAATATATCGGGTATCACTGCTACTTTGTTTTGCTTCTCTTTGTATTTCATAGAGTACAACGAACACAGCGAAAATCAAGACAGTAATGAGGATCAATTCCCTTATTGTATTTACAGTTTATCGACTCAGGTCGTCATATTTTTAGTGATGGTTAACTACCCATGCTACTTTGTTTTACTTCTCTTTGTATTTCATAGAGTACAACGAACACAGCGAAAATCAAGACAGTAATGAGGATCAATTCCCTTATTGTATTTACAGTTTATCGACTCAGGTCGTCATATTTTTAGTGATGGTTAACTACCCATGATTACTAAGTGGTGTCATTTCACCACATTAACAACCGACCCTATTGGACCAAAATTAAAGCCTTAAAGCTCAATATAGTAACGAAACCACAAATGCAGGCAACTTCTAACATCAAACTATTTACAAACGTATTGAAATTAATATGACATATGTAAACCTAAGGTGAAACACTCACCTGGGATTGACACTAAATGATACACTACTAGTATATATTATTTCATTTTATAGGACAAATTACTCTCTTGTCTTTGTATTGTAAGAAATTAAACTGAGAGATTACTATCATTTCAATGCGATGTGTTTTTACTAGATTTTAACGCGACGTTTTTTTTCTTCTCGATTTTAACGGTTTTGGTGCAAAGGAACGTCACACTGTGTAATCTTTTATTTGTAATTCAACTATTTGTGAAAATAAACATGGATTATAAATGCTTTGTTGGTTTTCGTTAAAGGAAGGACACTAAAGTAGTCAAACGTCATAAGAAAAAGTTGTAAATAGTTAAACATAGGTAAAATGCAATGTAAATATGCATACGGGATATTTATGTCATGACCGAAGGTAAAAATTACAGGTGATTCATTTCATTGACAAACTTAGGTCGCATCAAAAATAGATGAAATAACTGGAATTTTATAATAAAGTTAGTGGTGATAAGTTAAAAGTTAAAATTCGAGTGAAAAGAAGAACCGTTATTTCAAAATGACTGATAAAACTGGTCAAGAATTTCGAACACCGAAAAAGTTGTCCTTCTCTGGTCAACAGGATGTCCGACAAAGGGTAAGTCTACAATAAAATTCAACATTTGCATTAATTAAGCCAAGATCTTACTTACCCATTGTTTTGAAGAAAAAAAATTACTAAAACAAAGGGGTCAACTTTTCAGAGTATTGGTGTCACGATTGACTGATTCATTGGTGTTTGCTTTACGTCCAGTGGCAAATAATTCATGCATGTTCAGGAAGAGTACAAATTAACAAACAATAGAGGTAGACCGGCAGTATGAATTCCACTGGTAAATAAGATACGGGCTGGAATTTAGCCTTGCTACATGCAGACAACCAAGGGACTCATCAAAAGTTTGTTGCAGGAGTTCTTTAACGTCCAGAACGCGTGGCACTCTCTCTACAAATGCCATTAGATTTTACATCCCCAATCTGAATTTCTGACCTGACGTGGCTTAGATCCGCGTAACCTTAATTTGTAAAAGATTTAAGACAACAAAGTCAAGACACCTTAACCATTGATTGATTGTATAATCTTTAAACCTTGAGTTGATAAAGCTTTCTATCGATGGACATAAGGGAGTACATGTAACTCCATTAAAGAGCTCCATACTGCATTACACACTCTTTTTTTAAGATAAGCATTTGTTGTGCTTATCCTCCTCCTTAACACGGACCACACACGTACATTCTCTGGTACATGATATAATACATTTATTCCAACTGCACTCGGAAAAAGTCATAGATTTGTTCGTTTGAAGATATTTGTGTCTCCCGAGGGCATCGCACCGGGAAACAAACCTTTAATAATTTGACTAAATCTTACAAGTATATCCGAATGGAAAGAAAATAAGCTTTCTACTCCAACTGTTGTAAGGTATTGTTTCACGTCATTGATATAGAAGTTTTAGCTATGCGGATTTTGAATCATGATACTGCAAAATGTTTTGACGATTTTTCACATGAACGTATCAGAAAAAGCATCACTTTTTCGAATAACTATTTATATTGTATGTGACATTGTATACTCACATGTCTCGACACAGAAACCAGTGTATAGAAAGCCACCTCAAAGAAGTAAATCTACGTACTTCGGAATTGAGCTTTCTTATACACAAGTTGTCCATTTTTTCGTGATTAGCTTTTCTATGGACAGTAGACATGGGGTTGTGCACTTAATAAAATATTGAACAGTTTTAAACCTAAATAAAGTTATGATTATAGACTTAAATATTTCTGGTAAATGTTTTTCGAATTCAAATTTGTCTTTGAAAAGTTTGTTTGATAAACGCTTGTAAAGAGGTTTTCGCTTCTGATTTGAAAGTTTACTGAACATGATTGATTAGATATTCTCAGTCTGTTAAATACTCGACTGTACTCGCCCATCTACTTCAAATACTTCCCCATATGCGTTAACTTTCATGTCGTTTACTGTATTGATGTTTAAATATAAATACATGTAGTAATTGTTTAATTTGCTTAATTCCGCTTCATTTGGACTTTGTTGACTAATTGTTTCATTGACAATCATATCAAATCTCTGTATTTTATATATGTAGCACAGTTTTGATTGTTTAACTACGTTGTATGTCCCATATGTGAATGAATCATAAAATATTCTTATTCTTAAAATTTCTAAATCACGGGGTCGTAAGACCTCCCTGTCCCTTTTGGCAAAATAAATTTACTATAAAAAAATTAAAGAGGACTCTTACTAACTTCTAGACGATTATTCTACAGAAGGTTTTTTTTCTACATAGAAAAGCCTATTTTTTAAAACTTGTCACTTTCAGAAGCCCCACACTCACACTTTTTGGCCTACGCCACTCTAATTAGGCGAGTGACATTTTTCAAAAAGACGCTTAGTTAACGACTTTAATTCACCCAGCTACCATACACGGCTATATTATATATCATTCGAAAACTTATTATCTGTACCTTTTTTTTGCCTGTACTTTCTGTTTTGCCCGGTCGTCAATAATTCGTACGATGCATTTTTTGTTAAATCAAGGTCAAAGGTCACGAATGGACATTCACAAATTTCACAAGAATTAAACAAAATGCCCTTTGCTAGTTCTTGTATGATATTTTTTTTTCTAAAACTCATATGGACATAATAGAACAGAATACCATAATTCCAAATCAAATGCACATTAAAATGTTAATTGCGCAATATTTGCAGAAAAATGTAATTCTTGAAAAATACTCCAAAAATGATAAAATTGCGCTAAGAGCAAAATATTCTTCAGGTATCAATATTTGTATGTCAAAAATAGAATAAATTGATCGTTTATAGGTGAAGGGATTTTTTTTTTCTTCATTTAAAACTGCAATCAATATCAAATTGGTCAGGAATCAGCATTCTAAGGAAGCTTTTGCAGTTGCCAAATACTACCATCTGCAAATAGGAATCATTTTGCTTCTCGTTGTTTAGATAACACATCGATTGTTGTCAATATCAGGAGAAAATAATTTTCCATAATTGAAAAATAATGTTGATAAAAGTGCTTATGGAATATACAAGGTATATGCAGTAAAAAAATATTTTTTCGATGTCCAAAATGGAAAACATATTAAGAAGTTTATTCTCGTTAAATATTAGAATGACTACTGTTTGCAACGCGCCTTACTATCACAAATCCGGCTATTTATTTTTGTTATCACATTATTACATAATATATTAGTTGTTTTGTCAGAAATGACAGAGAATTGATATTGTGGAAGATTGATTTGGTCATGGGGTTATATGCGTGCTTATGGGAAATGTTGGAATCATCATGTCCCTATGCCCATTTGTGTTTGTTCTTTCAATTCATATGTACTAAAAAACTTTGTAATGAGCAATACTCCTCCAGCTTCGGTTGGTAAATTTAAGTGAAGTTCGAAGTTTTGAAGCGCACATATGGAGATTGTACATGAAGAAATTTTATTCAGGATAAACACATTAAAATAGAATTAAATAGAAAGCAATTGGAATTCACCATAACAAGCCTGCTTTTAAGTTATATCATTTTAACGCTTGATGTTCTCACATTTAAACATGTCATTATGTATGGGTTTTATATCAACTAATAGTAGACACTTATTGCAGTTATGAGATCTTCACACCATTAGAAAACTAAACAGATTATAGCCTGCAAAGCTGTAAAAAATATTTAGAAAGTCTGATTATAACTATAATTGTTGCGAATTGCTAGAATGTTCAAATAAAAAGATAAACTTTAGACTGTAAGTTGATGTAAATAAACTCCTCATAGATACCAGGCTTAAAATGTTTTACACCAGACGCGCGTTTCGTCTACAAACGACTTACTAGTGACGCTCGAATCAAAAACTGTAAAAAGGCCAAATAAAGCACGAAGTTGAGGACAATTGAGGGCTCCAAATTCTGAAAGGTTTTGCCAAATACAGCTAACTTAAGGTTATCTATTCACGGGGTAGAAAATCTGTAGTATTTTGAAAATTGGATTGTTTTGCAAACAGTTAATTTATAATTATGACCATATCAGTCACAATTCATGTCAACGCAGAAGTGTTAACTTTTGGGCTAGTGATACCCTCTGGGAGGAAACCTCGGCTCCACCAGCAGTGGCATCGACAAAGTGGTTGTAAAACAACTCATAGATACCAGACTTAAATTGTGTACGCCAGACGCGCGTTTTGGCTTCAAAAGACGCAATAGTGACGCTCGAATAAAAAAGTTTAAAAGACCAAATTAAGTACGAAGTTGAGGAGCATTGAGGACCCTAAATTCCGAAAGGTTTTGCCAAATACAACATGCAACTGCATGTAACAGCAACCTGTCATTTTTACAAGAAAAATACGTATTTGGATAAGGTTTCCTACGTCGGACTGGCACACAGAACATTTTCATGGTCTAGAATATAATAGTTTTCACTTTTTTCGTCAATGCAAGATGTTGTTGAAGAAACCATGAAAAATAAATTCCACTTTTATAAGGGAAATATTTGATATTCATTTTTTCATTAATCTATTTACCTACTATGTAATTATCTATTTATGTATTTATATTTTTTTTTTGGGGGGGGGGGGGGTAGCTAATTATCTATATATAAAGTACTTTATTTCTTTTAATGATAATCACAAAATTACAAACAAAATAATAAAAAAGACAGAAGAGTTTTTAACAAGCTGGTAGTTAAACTACATATTGAAATATCAAAGTTAGCTCCCTAAATTTCCTTTAAAAGCATGAGTCCCGCATATAATTTTTGCATTTTTTTCTAAATGTGTTTCTTCAACCCAATATTGACTACATACAATTTTTTTTTAACGTAGAACAGCTTAAAACTTGTCTGTTTGCAGATAGCGGAATTTTCGGCAACTGTATTGGTTGTTATGATTGTCTGTGTAATTAGCCAGAAATGTGATTGCAGTAATTTGATGATGTAAACAACGTCCTTAGCACTAAATGAAATATGTTATTTAGTTTTATGGTGATTAACATGTTCAAGTTCAAGTTCCAAAAAGCTTTATTTATAGACGAAGTCAGTATATAGAAAACATGAGCTCTATTGAGCTTTTATATCGTCTTTTGAATCACTGACAACTATTTTGTTTTCCACTCATTTTTTATCATTTTCACTGGAATTTCTGGAAAAAGGCGCTATCTATGAAAAGTCATTAATATCTTATAGTGCGTTTGACAATTGACTAAGAGTCAAAGTTCTAAAAGTTTTTCATATTTCCACACATAATTTTATTATTTAGAAGACAGAATATGCAAAAATGCTGACGTCTTGTAAAATAAGAAATTGTCCGTCCTTGACCTTTCATGGTGATTTAACAGAAATTGCACCGTACGAATATTTGACGACCGGGCTAAAAAGAACTCACAGATGATATGCATTCGTATGGTATTTGATTTAGCCGTATGTTAGGTGGGTGCATTAAAAATTAAATTTTATGGTAAATGTTACTCGACTTAATTACAAAATATGTGTTTTAACATATTCTCTCAGCGTGACTGATCCCAAATTCAAATTAGTTTTAATAATTAATTTAGCCGTGTAAATCAATAAATAAACTTGAAGCTGAGCCGTACACTATAACATTGAATGGTTATACTTATATTTCTACTTCTAGGAAAAAAATTAATTCAAGTTAATCAATCCAAAAACGTATACTTTAGACCGTGTTTGTTTGGGTGCAGTGTCCTGGAGTGTGACTACAATATGACGTCCAAACTTAAAACAAACGAAAATAATATGTATTTTTAACAAAACTTGTGACCTTACTCTATAAACACGGAAATAGGAAAAAACATTACCAAAGCGGAAAATCGTACACTTTATACGGTCATTTGTACTATAATATTGATTATTTCTAGAGTACAAACAGATTTATAGGTAGGGAAACCTACTTCATGACCTGGCGGTAAATTTAGGAAACAAAAATCGACTATTTCCGTAATGTTTGTATCAAGCACAACACACCTGACAATTTGAAGCATTTGAACTTAGAGTTTCATGACACACACACATTGACTTGGTGATTTTTTTCAAATGTAGTTCCTGGAGGTTCGAATAGGATTTTACAAAATCCGATATATAGATATCGAACATTTTATATATACATGTACTTTTAAAAGACGTTTATCTACAAACATCCAAGACATGAAAATTTATCACAATTCTAATGGTAGCGATAAATTAAAGGATGATAGTGCATGTTCCAAGGTAAGAAGAAACAAACAAATTACTAAATAGGATTTAAATAATATAATAAAGAATAAAATATAGGAAGCAAAGGTTAAGCCTCAAAGTTGTACATCGTTCGTGTATCGTGAGCTAACGCGTGCCACATGTGGAGAAAAGATTTTGTATCAAGAGGGAATTGAAAAAAAATATTTTACTTCTATCGAAAGTTAGGAAAAAAATAAATACAACATTGAGTTTAAAAAAAAATCTTGTTCCTGATTGGCATTAAAAAAAAATTAAGTCGAAAAAAGTATGATTGTTTGTCCCGAGAAGCTAGATCCACCCATGCACCACACACAAGATAAATGGTCCGTGCCTCAAACTTTGTATCTTGTTTTCTTGATATATCTCTGATTACTATAACCAAAGATAATTTCAGGATATATGAAAAATAAGTTAAAACTTTACGCAATTATGAAATGACATTTTTGCCCCTTAATTGAGTGCTCGATGAATTATGATGGTGATCGGCGAGGAGATCGATGAAGGTTGTTTCATATACATTTGAATGAATACAAATCACACAGATTTTTCTCTCTTTTTAGAAATATAAAGTCAGTCATGATGCGACACCATCACCTACAGATTCTGAAAACGGAAATTATTATAGAAACTTGGCATTTTCAGCATCATCAAATGACAATGTACCTACAAATAGAACTTCTCCGTTGAAATTAAATTTTGATGAAGACAATAATGATGATGTGTTCGTCATATCACATGCTGACAGTGCAGTGTATTCCGAAAAATCCAAAGCTAAGCGAGTGGAAAGTGCACGGACTTCGTCTGACGAGAATACATCTAAATTGAAAATTAGGAAAATATGTTTAATAATAATATTTATTGTGATTATATTAGGACTTATAGCAGGCATAACTGTGATAGTAGTGTTTTATGTTTTAAATTTAGGTAAGTGAAATATTATCTGAAACAAAGATTTTAAAAGTACTATAAAAGATCCGAAAAATCTTGTCAATATAATCCGGATGTTTCTACCGTCTTTGGGTTGAATATTTTTACAAACCGGAAGTTACAGACGATGCAAACTTCCAAAGCTAAAAAAGTGGAAAAGTAACAGATAGAAAAGTAACAAAATAGACTGACTGCTCCCAATAATTCATTCTAATTAGTATACTTTAGTTCCCCGTTATAGCATAGTTAACCGCCATGGTGTACCCTGAAACGGAAGGGCGTATTTCTGTTGAGATTTGGGATCAGATTTGACATCATTTGTTTCTTCTCATTAAATGGCTAATATTATTCAGGTGTAACCTTTTTCAAAAGAGTACAAAGTCCGTTTTATTTTTGTGATACTTTTTGACAATCAGATGTATACAATTTTTTGGTGCAGTCTACTATTATATCAAATTCAACACATGCATTACATTAGAGTGGAAGATATATAATATATACATTTGTACTGCATGCATATACATGTAAGAAGCAACATCACACATGAAAACACTAATAAGTATCTACATGAGAATGCACAAATCCAAGTAGATGTGGAGTTAATGTCCTTAGCTTAGGACAGCAACTAAACTACCCATAAAAAACAAAGAACAACGAAGCTTTTTACATTATATTATTCTGTTCTTGTACCATTATCATGATTATTGTTAGGAAGAGGATTGTCATATATATACATACATTGTACAGACATCGAAACCAATAGACAACTTTCCAGTTCGATGCATTTCCGTCAAAAAACTCTGGTTTTAGTGAACATCATTCGTGCGTTTAGGGGCATCGTCACTTCCCATGCTTCCGTTCCAATGTTGAGCAAGTGGTTGGAAAACTATAATGCTATATTGCACAAATTATTCGGCAAATTAAATTCTCATAATCAGCCTAAAAGTGAAATTAAATTATAAATATAAAATCAGTCTTTTGTTTTGTCAGACACAGACATGACAGATCAGAAGAATATGCATATTTAATTGAGATCTCTGTTTCATAATAATTAAACTGGCTAATTGATAGATAGATAGGTAGATACTTTATTCTCTAAAAACTTAATGCTAGTTTACAGAGAAAGTACAATATAAATACAAATACAATAGTACAGCAGTCAGTGACCATGGTGACATGTTAAAAGATGTTAATTAGCGATGATCTATTGATTGATGTCATAACTCCAAGATTTTCAATATAATGTAAAAATAAGATAAATCACATTTTCATGGACATTTGCAAAAATATGCATAAAAAATGCTTTGTTATATAAAAACCTTCAATATTAAGCATGCCGCAAAGTACATATTTGACCTTCCTTGAAAGTTCTCCGAATGATGTGTATTTTAGTTTGTAATACTCATATTATTTCTTTTTAATTAATTATGTGTCAGTCAATCAAGTTTATGTTGTTCACATCTTTAACAATACAATGCAGTGTTTTTTTCGATTGTATTTTCACATTCAGCGCTTGCCTATTTTGTCCAAAAAAAAAAAACAACACGAAAAAATGTCTTTGTGTCCACAGGCTCTTCAAGCTAGGATTATGGATATTACTAATTATATATTTATTAATTGAGTAATTTGTCAGTTAATTGTTACCAGATCCAAATCAGTTTAAATTTACATTAATTATTCTGACAGTTCATATATACATGTATCAACATATTTTATGCTTTTAATTCCCGAGGAAAAATACTTATAAATGTATAAAGGACTGTAGAAATACCAGTACCACTACCTTCCCAACTCCTTATCAATATATTTATTAATAAAAGCTTTGCAGTATATGCTATACTAACCTATTCTGCTTGTTTCAGATCAATCTCCTGAGACAACTACACAAAGTACTGTCTCTACAACTCAAAGTAAGTTATACATGTACAAAGTTCTAGTCAAAGTACCATTAATCAATCAACCAAGTTTAACGTACAATGTATTAATTTTTAGTAAACATCTGTAGGACACAGGAATGCTTCATACACTGAAATTCTAAGATTGCTTCTATAGTTAATTGACCTATTTTTCCCTGGGCACCATATATCTGTATATCATGTATACGTGTCCTAAGTCAGGAATCTGATGTTCAGTAGTTGTCGTTTGTTGATGTGATTCATAACTATTTCTCATTTCTCGTTTTTTATGTAGATTAGACCGTTGGTTTTCCCGTTTGAATGGTTTTACACTAGTAATTTTTGGGGCCCTTTATAGCTTACTGTTCGGTGTGAGCCAAGGCTCCGTGTTGAAGACCGTACTGTGACCTATAATGGTTTACTTTTATAAATTTTGACTTGGATGGAGAGTTGTCTCATTGGCACTCATACCACATCTTCTTATATCTATGTATGTGTGAATGGTACAGCCCTATATAATCAGTGAAGTAAACACATGAAGTCAGTATTTTCTTGCAACATGTTTTACAAAACATTGTACATCACAGTTTTTGCAGTTGAAAAAATTATTCAGGACAGTTTGGACAAATCTGTCATTCCTTGCTCACTCTTGGTGTTTTCCATTAACCCTTTAGCGCCCAATCCCGCCTGTAGGCGTGATGGCGACAACCATTCTTTGATGGCCCGTATGACCCTCCATACCTTTTTTGAACTGCCCCAGCTGAACTGTCATGATAGCAGGGACTTCAACCAAGCAGTTCATGGTCCATAAACTCTTCTCAGATGTCTGTTCATGAAAATATGGCACTTTGAAGGCCGTTTAAGAGTTCAAAATCGGAAAAACGTGAAAAGTAGCCAAAATCAGGTGGGGGTGGGCATCTTTTGATGGCCACTACGTAACTGGTAGTGACTGTAGGTATAAACTATTATCATAAATGCATGCATAGGTGGTAAAGGAACACAACGAGGTATAATATGGCCAATAGGAATCTAGTCTGTAAAATCTAGGTCACCGTTTTGTCAAAAATCCGTAAAAACGGACATTTAGGCACACCTGACTTGACAATAATAATTCCCCAGCAAGACACTTAAGTCCAATATACTCCCAGTTAGCATGAATGGACTGCTGTAACTATAGGGTAATACTTGAATGACAAAGAAAAACAGTCTGGTCAATGTTCACCTCTCAAGGTCGTTTAAAAATCGGAAAATAGACGGAAAATTTACATTTTTCAGTGGGGGTGGGTTCAAACCCACGAGAAAATATTCCACCCCCCACCCCACCCCCCCACCCATGCCATCCGCCCCCAAATCTCAATACATAGTTTAATAGATGAGCATCAGTTACAGCATCAAGAGTCTGCTAATTTGCATATAATTTGCATATGATTGCAAATTTTCGAAAATGCCTGATTTTCCAGAAATCTCTTGGGGGCGAATGAGTTAAACTAAAAATATTTTTTTCCCGATTTTCAACCTCTAAAGAGTGTTTTGGTCAGTTTTACACCCCAAAACGACCCTCAAACCCAACAGAAGTCAAATTTAAAAATTTTGATCAAATCGTTTAAAAAGGGAAGACACTTACAAAATGTTAGATTATAGATAAGTAAAATTCTCAATTAGGTTAACTGATATGAGGAGCTTCAAATTTGAATTTCTGGCCAAAATTAGTATTTGTTTGTTTAGTCTGAGAGTTGTCTTTTAGCTTTTGACTGGATGTTTTATGCACAGTTTGTTATTGTTAATACCTGTGAAATGCATAGATATATATCATAGTTGTAGTCAAAGTGTGGTGACCAGGATATAAGATTTTATTCGGCATTTAAAAAAAAATTCTTGTTGATTATTTTCTCGTAACATGTCCTAAAGCAATGGTGAAAGTTTTCCTGTGACTATATTATAAATATATAAATTATCTGTCCAACCTAACAACTCGTAGCAGTAGTATTATTTTAACAAGGCATGTCACATTTATAAACAACAGATTTGATTACCAAGTAAAGACAAACTCCTATATATAATATAAAATGCTTTTCCAGGATGCCTTAAAAGGTTGGAGACTTTTATTAACAAACATTTTTCCTGAATGATTCAGAATTTCCTGTTGAAAAGTTGACTCAGATTGAATTTTTCAATTTTCCAAAAACGTAATTTTCTTTCCACTTATTGTAATTGTCATGACTGTTAGAGAGCTTAATCTGACTTACTTCCCTGGAAGTATTAATGTTGCATTTCAAAAGTGAGACACCATCAGTCAGTGTATGAACTGACAGGCATGACAGTAATGTTTTGGTAGTTCATCAGGAGTCCGTCAGTAGTCTGTCAGTAATCTGTCTGTAGTCTGTCAATAGTCAGTCAGGAGTCAGTTAGTAGCTTGTCTGTCAGTAATCTGTCTGTAGTCTGTCAATAGTCAGTCAGCAGTCTTAGTAGTATGTCAGTAGTCTGTCCATAGTCTCATTAATCTGTCAATAGTCAGTAGTCTGTCAGTAATTTGTCAGTAGTCAGTCAGTGGTTTGTCATAAGTCGGTCAGTATATCAATTGTTCATCAGAAGTCTGTCAGTTGTCTGTCAGAAGTCTGTCAATATTCCATCAGTAGTTTGTCAATAGTGTCATATAATAACATATTGTTTTGCTCTCAGCCAATAAAAAAAATAGTGAGATTTTCATTCAAAGCTGGATAAACTGAGATACATGTACCCTTAACTTGAAAAAATAGATTTCTCATGCACCTTTAAAAGGAAAAGTTTTTAAGCAGCGTTATATATCAATTATGATACAATTTCTAATTCATATGCAGGAATTATCGTTCATCCTTATTACAAAGTACAATCAAGAAAAACAAATTTAATAGTGTATTCATATTATCATGATAATTTTAAACGTTACCAAAAAGATATAAAATTAAACTTGATACATTTAGGATGAGTGTTAGTTTACAGGGATGACAATTAGCTTGTTTGAGTAGTTTACAGGGATGACAATTAATAGCTTGTTTGAGTTTTGTCTATTACATTGTTTAACATGTGTTAGAATGACATGATCTATTCTCATTACGATTGCAATGTTTATCTTGTCATGTTTCTGTGTGTTACTTGTGGTCTTAATAAACCATACATTTACATATAAAAACTATTTTCATTGAAATCAGATCAGTTAATGTAATGATTCATTTCCTATTTGTTAATTCTTTTATTCTCTTCTGATTTTGTTTTGTAAAATTTTTTTTTATGGAGTTTGAAGTCTGAATCACCATTTCTGAATCTACACCGAAATCTGAAACTGCACTAGTAAAATATAATTCTAAAACAATCCTATGAAAAGGATAATGTCCTTTGAATTACTTCATGTTTATTATTGTCATTAATTTTGGCTGGGACTTATTGATGACTTCATGTAGTAGTTCCAGATTTTGGACAAAACATGTCATAGAATAAATAAATACATACTATAAACAAGTCTAAATTGAAAACAACGTTCAAACCTATGATTGCGTTGGATAAAAACCGCATTTTTTTATACGTGTACATGCAAAACAAATTTCTTGGTAGAGGGGTCTAAATACAGCACAAACAACATTTTCCAAAAGACCAAAAAAGATGAAAAAGTATATTTTAACAAAATGCATTTGACTAGACTAAATACATATTATACTACACTTGTTGCTACATGTATATCAATTCATTGTAACCTCAAAACACGATTTGTTTTTTTGAAAATGACGATCCTTTAGTTAGCTAGTCTATCTTTTTGTTATTTTTGATGCAAGAACACGTACAGATTAACCTTTGATAAAAGAAAACCCAAATTTTTCCAATAAACTACATAGAAACAGGTCTTAGTGGTTTAATCTTTTGATTTTTGAAAAGTAGTAGTTCTTTATGGTTATTAATCAGATGTCCAGACCTGTTCCATCATAATTTTCACCTGTTTAACAAAAAAAGAAAATAGTCATAAACATGTTACTTTTATTATTCTTCCCTTAGTTTCTTTATTTTGTATTTACATTGTATCATAGGTCAAATTTATTTGTTCAGTGTATGTTCACTGGTGTTAATTATATATGTCCTTTGATTGAGTTAAGCTATTTCAGTTGATATTTTATAGTGTGTCTTTCTATGTTGTGATGTTACACTATTGTTTCAGAAAAAGGGTGAAGGTTTGGTACCATTAAAACGTTTAAACCCGCTGCATTTGTTTGCACCTGTCCTAAGTCAGGAATCTGATGTTCAGTAGTTGTCGTTTGTTGATGTGGTTCATAATTGTTTCTCGTTTCTTGTTTTTTTATATAGATTAGACCGTTGGTTTTCCTGTTTGAATGGTTTTACACTAGTAATTTTTGGGGACCTTTATAGCTTGCTGTTCGGTGTGAGCCAAGGCTCCGTGTTGAAGACCGTACTTTGACCTATAATGGTTTACTTTTATAAATTTTGACTTGGATGGAGAGTTGTCTCATTGGCACTCATACCACATCTTCTTATATCTATTAACCACAGATGTATTTGTTATAAATGGCAGTTGAGCTGATAGTTCATCTAGTTATACATTAACTACTGCTAATCAAAGAATTTGACCTGAGAAAAATAATTAACAAGTTACTAATAAACAAGTTAATTTGTGAATGTGCATGGTTCTTAAGTAATTTATCAATGTTGTTTGGCCAATAGTTGAATATTTTCTGATATTTTGATTTTTTGATAAGTTACTTTTTCAGTTCACCTTGAATATAAATAAGGTAGAAAAAGGAAAGAACTATACCTTTCCTGAGGAGTTCTTGTTTCATTGACAACACTTATTGTTGAAAAACATTTGAGGAATGGAAATACAGGGTTTTTTTCACAAATGAAAAATCACTTTAAATATAGACTCAGTAATCACAGTACTGTAAATTCAAAAATTATTATGTACATTTATTATTGCGATTATTGGAGATTGGACAAAAATGCGATATTAATTATTGCGATTTCAGCTAAATATGCATACAGATATATGTTTCAGATATCAGAATGCAGGTTCTTATTAATATATTATTGTTGTACTCACCCAGCCGCATTTTTAGCAATGATAAAAACCTCCCAATAATTTCTGAATTTACAGTATTTCATTTCAACAAATGACAACCTTTATGAAAGGGGGGGGGGATGTGGTAAGTACAATTTACACCATACAAACACTCTTGATTTAAATTGTGTCAGAGGTATATATATAATAGTCACTGAATGTTCTACTTCATTTTATTTCTAGGTAATATTGTTTTAGATAGTAGTGTGAAGCTGAAGAATGATTGGTCCAATCAATTATATAATTCTTCATCTGATTTTTATAAAACTTTGTCACAAAATTATACACAGGAGGTACGTATGTATATATATTTTTTCAGTTTTAAACATAAAGTTTTTTTAGGCAAAAAAAGTTTTAAAAGCAATCACTGCTAAATTGAGGTTTTAGTTTATATGTTCCATGGGTTATCTCCCTTTAAGTTAAATCAAAAATATGACTTCATTGACAAGAAGTAAATTTCTGTAAAGCTAATGATTTTTTACCAAAATCGAAATGTTGAGATACTGTAATTGTAATTGTAATACTATCAAGACATGGGGGAATGAAAAACTGTTTACAGTTCAATTTATTTAAGTGTTTTTTTTAAATTATTAGTTCGGCTACTCTTAACAAATATATTTTAAAAAGTCAATAGAATATTCAATTCACTTATGAATTTTAAATAAACAATGTAATAAATTGATATTTCATCACATTTACAATACTCATGGAAATATAATGTATAGGGGATGTATGCTAGACAACACTACCACAATACTAGGAAAATAACCAACATATCAAAGAAAAAGCCCTTTAATTATTGTTCTGTATCAATACAGTTTCTTGAAATCTGTAGAATAAAATGATTGGCCTAAAAACTTCTAAAAATTATGTTGATGATAGATTGCGGTTTAATGCCCAGTGGCAAATTAAATGCATATTCAGGACTATAATATGTTAATGTTATATGAATACAAACCCTGCTTTGTACTAGACTGGGAGGCTGAGCCTCTTTTTATAACGTGTTTGTTCACAAGTTAACAGTACACAGAAAGAAAAGTCACCCTACCTGGACACATTTTTCTGACTCCAGGCCGACCTGTCTTTGCACTTACTCCTAAATGCTGTGTTCTTTGTAGAGAATTAACAAAAAGTAATCTTTTTTTTGACCTGGAATGGTGTTGAAACCGAGACTTCGCCCAATCAAGACAAGCTCACTACCACAAAACCTCTGAAGGTTTTTTTTTTATGCCCCACCTATGATAGTAGAGGGGCATTATGTTTTTCAGTCTGTGCGTCTGTTCGTTAGTTTGTCCGTCTGTCCATCCATCTGTCTGTCCCACTTCAAGTTAAAGTTGTTGGTCAAGGTAGTTTTTGATGAAGTTGAAGTCTAATCAACTTGAAACTTAGTACACATGTTCCCTATGATATGATCTTTCTAATTTTAATGCCAAATTAGAGTTTTGACCCCAATTTCACGGTCCACTGAACATATAAAATGATAATGCGAGAGAGGCATCCGTGTACTATGGACACATTCTTGTTTTAAATATTTCTGATTTTCATTAAAAAAACTTTGATTGATTATTGTTTATAACATACTTAATTTTCGAAATAATATTTAACCTTTGCCATATGTAATCTTTAAAATATGGGAGCCTGTATTTGTCTTTTCAGATTGACAATCTCATGCAGAATAGTAATGTATCACAATTTTATCTTGGTGTCAGGGTACTGGATTTCAGGTGAGACAAACAATATGTTGTGATTCAGGTAACAATCATGAAAATTATTTAGGCTGTTGTTTAGACCATTTTTTTCAAATTGAATGACCTGGAATGGAGCCACATGAAATTAAAGGACCTGAAATTGAGCCACTTAAAATTGAGCCACTAAAAATTGAGCTCCATAGAATTGAGCCACATGATATTTGATAACCTGAAATTCAGCCACTTAAAATTGAGCCACTAAAAATTGAGCTCCATGGAATTGAGCCACATCAAATTTAATTACCTGAAACTGAGCCACTTAAAATAAAGCCACTAAAAATTGAGCCCCATGAAATTGAGCCACTTGAAATTAAGCCTCATGGAATTAAGTTACTTGAGATTAGACACGTAAAATTGAAACAGATGAACTTAAGATCTATAAATCATTTATTACACAAAAAAGAAATCAATTTCATTTATTTTACCATGGAAAAAGAAAGCAAAAGACACAACTGTTTGATCTGCAAACAGATCGAGAGCTTGTCACAGACATTTTAAAACTCTATTTAACTGTTAATCCAAATTCTATTTTTAGGAAACTTACCAATTTTTGGGAGCTAGATGTAGTATTGATATATGTATTGTCCACTAAGATCACAATATGTTTGACATGTTTTTTTTTAACTTTTAGCCCTGGCAGTATCTTTGTCCATTCCGAGATCTCATTTAGACCAGATGTGTTTTCTGAGACATTATTTTACGATGTTTTTGATTTATCCAATGGTATAGAGGATATTATACGATTAGAGTCTTCATTAGGGAAAACATCTCTACTCATAGATACAAGACAGATTTATGTTAGTGGTAAGTTGTGCAAACCTCAGCAGTCGCATTATCTAAATATTGTAAATTCAGAAAATAATATATTGTTATTATTATGAAGGTTAATACATTGTAACTGATGGAACTCATATTTCTATTTTTCTGTGTAATATTTAGATAAAACATGCACAGACTTCACATTAAATAAATTGGCGTAAATGTCAGTTGGAAAGATTCACATTGATGAATGCACACATTAGATTTAGGGTTTATAAATAAGAATTTATTATTTCATGTCATGCTATACAGTCATTTTAAAATGGGTAGACATTATATTTGTCAATATCTTTACATTGACTATTACAAAAATGGATTCAAAATAAAAAAAAAAATTTTGAAATACTGTATGTGTTTCAAGTTGGTTAGTTACTTAATGAAGGCACTAGGAAAGGCACATACATACATCATATGTTAAGCCCTAAATTATCTTTGGTCTAGATAGATGTGATTAAAATCAACAGAGACAAAAAAAATACTGTAATGTGAAATTTTCTTCATGAGATATTTATTTTCAATAATTTCCAGAAAATAATAAAAGCACAAAATGTATTCCTTCTCTTAAATATCAGTTTTATTAACATCATAATCAGGAGGAAAAAAGTATGAACATAAAGCCTCGCAATCAGTTAAGAACCTTGAAATCGCTAGAGTTAATCTCCATGTAAATAAGCCAATTTACAGTATTTAACAGAAACACCAAATCCTCAATAGGCAAATAACTTCAACAGAATTGTTGGACATTTACCGATAGCTCCAAATTTAATCAAGTGGCTGGGTAAAATGTGTTTCATATTTTTTAGAAGTTGATTTGTAAAGCAACAATAACAATAAGACTAAGAAAAAAAAAAGAACAAAATAGTTTGATCTGCACCATGAAATAAAAATTTAAATATAAATATTAGACATAAACTTGAAGATTGTGTTTTATAATGCATTTTTTGTGTACATTCTATTTTTCAGGTAAATGTGTGTCATTGGATTTTAATGTGTGTTCCTCATTTTATAATGCAACAAGTTTCCCGAACTTTTATAATCATAAATCTTATGAGGAAGCAGTGACCTACTTCCAGAATGATTTACAGCCTGTGATAGACAGTGGTTGTTCTAATCTTGCCTCATTATTTCTGTGTGGACTTAATTTTCCAAGTTGTCACAAAGCAAGACAATTACTGCCATGTAGAACTGTTTGTCAGCGTAAGTATAATTACAGATAGCTTCCATTAAAAACTTATGAGAGATGGAAGGACCGGACTTCCAAAATCCACACAAAAAACATAATTTCTTTGAGTGATTTGACATACAATTTAGAAATTATTGCATGGTTTTTGCGAATTATTGCGAAAAATGTGGCTGGGTGATTGTCGCAATAATAACTGATAATAAGAACTCACATTCTGATATCTGATACATATGCAGTCTTCACGACAAACTTTTGAATCCACAGGCCCAAAGATAAATTTTATTATAATTTTAATTGGATTCTGTTGGCCTGTAGAAATGATTTTTACAGGCCTGACAGCAATTTTACAAGCCTGGGCTAGTGGGCCTGTGGTTAAGCATGAAAACTGCATATATCTGCATGCCTATTTTCCTGAAATTGCAATAATTAATCTCGATATGTATGTCCATTCTTCAAAAATCACAATGATAAATGCAGGCAATAATTTCTGAATAAACAGTACACCAAATGGAACTGCAACCATGAAGAACCATTCCCATGTCTTAAATAAAACTTTCCTCTCTGATTTATTTTGAAGGAAGAGCCATAACTTTTTATTTATTATCAGACTCAGCATCTTGCAGTTCATGGGTAAAAGGAAAATAATAATTGTAAGTCAGCAGTCAGTTATTTTTAGGTTGCTTTGATATATAACAACAACCATTAAAACTAGGAAATCAAGTTTTCAATAAAAAATGAATGATCTTCAAGTAACTTTTGAATTTTGTCTTTAACTAGTCATAAATCAATAGATTGGTAAACCATTCTGGTTTTCATATTTCAGTGATGAGATAAACTTAGCATTGCTTGATTAGTTATATAAATATATTATTCAGATAATACATATTTAGGAAATCATTGAACTACCAATAGTAAACTCTACTATATCACAGACAATTTATGTTTCAGAATACAATACAGATTGTTCAGTCTCAATTGATTGTTCTCAGTTTGAAGATTCTACCGATCGTAACTTATGTCTCAGTAAGTTTGTATATTCTAACTTGTTAGATTTGTTCAGAAAGAATCATATGTTCAACTGTATTTTTAAAGGCATACTGAAAATGGCAGATACAAAAATAATATTAAACAATTTTTTTTAAAATATCTAAATATAGGAATAAACACCTCAATATGTTGTGACACAGTTGTAACAGCCAATCAAAATGTAAAAGGATTAAATCCTGAAGCCATGGTTAAAATAGGGTTTGTAGTATACTATAGAAACATTCATTTTCATTGAATCCTATAATTTTGTTTTGTCTCTCAATTTTGTTTCATGGGGATTACTTTTCATGGGGATTACATTTCATGGGGATTACTTTTCATGGGGAATACTTTTCATGGGGATTACTTTTCATGGGGAATACTTTTCATGGGGATTACTTTTCATGGTGACTACTCATACATGTGATGGACTGTGAAACTCAGATCAGGAGATAGGGAAATTTTGGTCAGGAGATTAGGACTCAGATCAGAAGGTTTTTAATCGACATAAATTTTGTCATAAATGTAACCGTGTGCTGTAGAAATTGTCTTTTAAAGTGTTTTTTCTTCCACTTTCCATCAGAATGTATTATGTTTATAGTAAGTACCCTTGTACTTATAAATTTTCTCTATCTTTATTCAACATGTTCAATCTAACATTCTTTTTTTTTAGTGTGTTCTTTAAATTCTTTATTTCATATCTTTTGTATCATTAATCTTTAGAACAATCACTGCAACCTAAACATTTGTTTAACCGTCTGCAAATAGATCTTTTTTGCATGTTAAGAGACACATTACAAAATAAAAACTAGGGTCATAGTTATTATATAAGTTTCAATGTAAGCCTTAAAGGAAGTATAGAACCCTCAAATAATTTTCAAATTATTATTTTTTTAGTATTTGTCTTAAGACATTTAAAATCATTTAATTACCATCCTTTTATGATTATTTGTTCAATTTATATTTTATTTATATTCTTTTAAAAATTTACATTATTTAAAGGAAAGTAACTTAAAACAGGATAAATCAAGGGAAGTAATTTCAATTATTTTTACATTATTTAAAGGAAAGTAACTTAAAACAGGATAAATCAAGGGAAGTAATTTCAATTATTTTTAAATACACAAAGTTTTTATTTCACAACGGCAGTTAGCCTGAGGTAATAATCGTTGATTACCAGTATGTTTGACACCCAAGCTGACAAGTGAAGCCCTATAATTATGTATGTTAATTGATTTACAGGTAAAATATAACTTCAGGTAATGTCAGTTACACCAGATATGTTGGGCTGAAATTTTTCATTCATGAAATATTTCATACACAGGATTTTTTTCTCTTCAACGGGAGGTCGGGAGGAGACCCCTGAAAACGGGATTATTGTACTCCCGTCAGGAGGTTCACATGTATGACTACTTTTCATGGGGAATACTTTTCATGGGGATTACTTTTCATGGGGAATACTTTTCACGTTGATTACTTTTCATGGGGATTACTTTTCATGGGGAATACTTTTCATAGGGATAATTTATGGTTTCCTTTATGTGAAAATAATCTTCATTGTTGGTTAAAATTTTGTTGAAGTTTTGATTTCTAAAGTAATATCTATCAACAGAATTAAAACCACCAACAAAAATTCTGCTTTTACAGCATTTAAAAGAAATTCATCAAAAATTATTTGAATTCACAATTGATATACATATTTTAAATTACAAAATAGCAGTAGTTATCCAGTAATAGGATAACTATATTTGGTATATAGGTCTTCATGGCTGTCAGACAGGGTTTACCTGACCTTGACCTCATATAATGAATCATTGATCAAGGTTAAGATTTCCTGATGAAGTCTGTATCTCAAATACCATACGCTATAGGTCTATATGTCCATCTTGCAGGGTTCATCTGACTTTGACCTCATTTTTCATAATTTTTTTTCAATGTTAAGTTCCCTGATAAGGTCAGTTTATCAGATGCTATGAGCATTATGTTAGCTATAGTTGGTGTATGGAATGATTGAAAGTTTGTAAATATCTCTTTGAAGGGTTCATCTCACCTTCACTCTTTTCATACATGTACAGTAAAGCAGGTGAAATTTCAGCATGTGCACTCTTTTAGTTAAAACTATGCAATAATTTGGATTATAAGAAATTTAATGACTCTCGTCCTTAGTTTTATAAGCAAAAATCAATAAAAAATTAAAACAATTTTATTTACTGTAGCAATGCCAACAACAACAACAGAATCAACCACTATCATGACAACTACCGAGGCTTCTACAATTATAGAAACAACAACCATGACAACAGAACCAACAACAACTACCATGACAACCGAAGCAACTACAACTACCATGACAACAGAACCTTCAACAACTACCATGACAACAGAAGCAACTACAACAACCATGACAACTACAGAACCAACGACAACAGTAACAACAGAACCGATATCAACAACACCTAAAGGTTTGCTTTCAATTATCAATTATTTGGTTGAAATAAATGTAAAATAATAGGTCACTAGACAGGGGAGGAGGTTGTGCAATTTCTCCACATCTCTTGAAGGTATGTCTATATAACATGCATATATAGTGAACACAATTAATGGAAGATTATGTCGTAAGTAGACAAGACATAGATTTGATATAGCAAAGCATAAACCAGGAGGGATGACAAGAGCTATTATTTGGCCCCTGAAATTGCAAAAATAGTTTGCATATTAAAAATGTTAATTTCATTGATAAATGAAAAAGTTGCTTTGATCTGGAAACTGTAGTGCAGGAAGGTTACTTGTGTTGTCACCATGATATCATAAACATGTCGAAATTTAAGCATTTGAACTAGATTGGCCCTTTCATAAAATTGAGAATGGAAATGGGGAATATGTCAAAGAGACAACCTGACCATAGAGCAGATAACAGCCGAAGGCCACCAATGGGTCTTCAACGCAGCGAGAAAACCCTGCACCTGGAGGTGGTCCTCAGCTGGCCCCTAAATAAAATTGTGTACTGGTTCAGTGAAAATGGACGTCACACAAACATGCATAGTTTTTGGTCAAAATATATATGAGCAAGGGCTTTCCCCTAAAAGATATTTTACACACATTTACATCTTTGTAAAATACATTTTGTAGCAAAATATCTTTAATAGTAAGGCCTTAGCTTATACCTAATAATATTTTGTATTAAATGTGAGAAGTTAAAAGACTAATGTAAGGATAATTCAAAAATATAAATACTGCTGTCCGACAGATTAAAGTCTTATAAATATCTGAAAGATGTTATTTGGTAGATTTTTAATGCTTTTTTATTTTTAGAATTCAAGGGGCCAAAAAAGTGGCCTTATCATAACTTCTCCTATACATCTTTAAAAAATAAAAAAGTCACAAGATACATCTGAGCAACCTAACCAATTACCAAATGTTTTTTTCTTATATGGATTTAACTTACCTAGCCAAATTAGCTTAAAAATTTACAAAAATATTTAATATGGTGCGATGTTAAATGACTCAAAACCCTTGCCAACTTAACAAAACCCAAAACAAAAGAACAGCAGTTTTCTTTCTGTTCTTCATCTAATTTAAAAGACAATCTCATAGAATACATCAGTGTCTGAAATTGTCTATCATAATGGTACAATATTGATAATTTTTAATTCCAGCACTTTGTGAAGATGTTCAGTCAGTTCAGTGTCAACAAGTTGGTATAAACCAGACCACATTTCCTAATCACTTTGGCCAGGATTCTCAGGATGTAGCGTTGCAGGTTTTTAACAATTACATCAACGACACATGTTCAGAGAATGCTACTTTGTTTTACTGTTCAGCATTATTCCCCAGGTGTGATAAAGGTGCATTGGAAAAACCTTGCAAGGATTTGTGTTTAGGTAATATTATATATTTGGAAATTTAATGTGCGTCTAATTTTCGTGGTAGACACTTTTACACAAATTTAACCCCACATACACATTTGACTATTCATTTAAATGCATTGTACAAGGGCATGAAATACAAGTTATGAACACAGCTGAGATTTAAAGGCCAAATCTAAGGCCAAAACCATGAACAAAACCTGACGCCAAATTAACAGATATGAAGTATTTTCAGTTTAATGTCTACTATTATAGGGTTTATGTAATATATATGAGATATATTAAGAGATATTAAGTATATAACTGGTATTTATCATGTAGGATGACTGTTATTGAAACAGGCACCCAAGAACACAAAAATGACATTTAAAAGTTAACATGGTCTTCAATAAAGTTCATATTCAATGTTATGATTTAATTACCCCTAGACAATGTCTTAACAACAACTTTTGCATGCTGTGTGACATCAAAGTGGTGAATTATCAGAAGTTATTTCACATTTATGTAAATATCAGTTTTTATTGGACTGAGAAATCATGATATTTCATTGCACACAAAATGTAACAAATACCAATAAACTTGTTTTGTAAGTACTCAACATTCACCATGAATGTGTTGTAAGACAGGCAGAAGACATCAAAGTAGGAATCTAAACTCATAAGTTGAAGAGAGACAAACAAAATGATTGCAAAAAATGAAAAAAAACAGCAAGAAGACAAGTCTCGCAAACACTATGTTCTTCTCATATATTTTATGATGGTATGATACTAAACCCCTAACGGGAGGGATTGTGCTTGATTTTCATATGATGAAGACATAATCTTTCAATCAATTTAATTGAGGTCTGGAGCTGGCATGTCAGTAACTGCTAGAAGTCCTTTGTTAATTTATGTATCATTGTCATTTTGCTTAGTTATTTTTGGTTACCTATTCTGACATCGGACTCAGGCTTCTTTTTAACTGAGTTTTACTGTGTGTATTGCTGTGTGCTTGTTTAATCTACATTGGCTAGAGGTATAGGGGGAGGGTTGAGATCTCACTAAACATGTTTAACCCCGCCGCATTTTTGCGCCTGTCCCAAGTCAGGAGCCTCTGGCCTTTGTTAGTCTTGTATGTTTTTTTAATTTTAGTTCATTTATATGTTTAGGAGTTTAGTATGACGTCCATTTTCACTGAACTAGTACACATTTTTTGTTTAGGTGCCAGCTGAAGTCCGCCTCTGGGTGCGGGATTTTCTCGCTGTGTTGAAGAGCCATTGGTGGCCTTTGGCTGTTTTTTACTCTTTGGTCGGGTTGTTGTCTCTTTGACACATTCCCAATTTCCATTCTCTATTTTACTACATGAAAACTAAACACCGAACAACACAAAACCCCACCAAAAATTGGGGTTAATCTCAGGTTCTCAAGAAGGGTAAGCAGACCATGTTCTACATATGGCACCTCTCTTGTTGCTCATATAAGTACAAATTTGTTGATAAACTTCATTTGGCAATGTCACAGTCAAGGAAAAGAGAACTGGATGGTACATTGGTAGTTATGTATTGGAACATATTCGTCTCTAATAAACACTGGTCCACTATATAATTCATTGAAAAATTCTTTTGAAATATCCAATAAGTATACATGTAAGAATAACTATTTATTGTTGAAGCTTATAAAGATTTCTTTAAAAACAATTTATTTTATCAGCTGCCATTAGAGAATGTGGTGACAATGCATTACAACTTTTCACAGAGAAAGACTGTAACTTGTTTAACGATCGATACTGTGTTCGTCCATTACCCCCACCTCTGACACCAACAGGTACATCAACACAGCCATCAGAAATTACCACTCCAACAGGTGAGGTCATGTCAGTTTGTAGATAGGTGTATTCATTAGGTTCAAAGCCAACAACAGAATCATTGATATTAACCAATACTTCTACAGGTTAGGCTATGTCAAGATAATGATGTGTAGTTAGATAGACACAGCCAACTACAACTACTATTTCTCCAGCTGTTTGCCTTTAATTATACCCCCGCTTTAAAAAAGTGGGGGTATATTGTTTTACCTCTGTCCGTCCGTCAGTCCGTCCGTCCGTCTGTCCCATGAGTATTTTTTGTCGCATCTTTTTCAAGAACTACATTACAAGGATTTCTGAAATTTGGTTTCAGGGTTTATATGAGTCAACTATACCGTGTTTTCAGATTCATCACTCAACAACTTCCTGTTTCCCTTCTACTTTTATTCTATAATGTAATAGATTCACTCTTTCAGTGAACAAAAGAATAAAGGGATATATGGGATATACATAAATAAGACAGCAACCCTGGCCAACAACAGAAATTATTAAAAAAAAGTCTTGTTTTCAGTTTAAAGTGTAAAGGAATAGAAATGTTTAATATTCTTTATAATACATTTACAGTAGATAGCAATTTTTCTATTCAGTTAACAGAAAGGCTGCTTTTCGGGCTATGCAAATAACAAGATCTTTTAACATTCGGTGAAAAGAAAATGAGTTTCTGTAAGAGAAAGTTATGAAAATAACCGAATTATGCAAATAAGGGTTATGTGATTAAGTGGAGTTGACTGTACTGGTTTATTGAAATCACCTTGTCAGTCTGTCTGTCTGTTTATCCACCAAATATTCCCCTCACTCTTCGATTGACCAGATTTACCATATATTTGATCAGCAGCTTGATATTGTTGAGTTGTGATGTGTGTGTTGACCTGGATGCTTCATACTTTGTATAAAAATGCCTTATGTTATGAAGTTTCTGTCTGCCATATGTCCATTGTCCTTGACCTCATTTTCATGGTTGAGTGACTACTTGAAGAAAAAATTAAGATTTTTTGTGATGTTAATTTTTCTCTTATTATGAGTAATAGGATAACTATATTTGGTATGTGTGTACCTTGCCATGTCCTATAATGCCTGTCAGACAGTTTAAAATAAATTATTGGTTAATAGTCACAAGTAAATATAACAAAAAAAATCATTAGCATGTATTCAATAACAGGTTTTCAAAAACTTTCCATACATTGTCAGTTATTTTTTAATTTTTTACAGCTATCATACAATGACACACTCTCTACATATCTTTCAGCTTTATTATAATTGCTTGCAATGAGAAATTCTTTTTAAAGCATCTAGAATTATACATATATTGTTTAATATAAAGAATAATCATGTTGTATGGGTTGTTGGGGAATATCTTGGATAAGTCTACAAAAAGAAAGTTTAATTTATTCATTGGGAGACTTATTCCACCAGAAAGGAACCAGTTATCAATATCCTGTAGAAAATTTTGTACAGTAATACAATTCTAAAATAGGTGTTCTATAGACTTGTTTTCTGTTTTACAAAATGTACATAAAGGATCATCAGTCAGTTTTATTTTAACTAAATACTGATTTGTTGCAATAATGCAATGGTTAATCCTGTATTGCAACCACTGTAAATTGTAATTTACTATTTTTAGTAACAGCAAAAGGCAGTCTGAAAATATTTTTCCAGTTCAGATTCTGTTCACCTAAAATTTTGACCCACTTTAGCTGTCCAGTAGAAATAACATTATTTCTTGTCAGTACAGAATACATATCTTTTGATCCTTTACAGTGTCTTAAAAATACTTGCAGACATGATGGTTTTTATAAATGACAAAATAATTTGTAAGATCCTTTAGAGAAAGATTTTGATGCCTCTTTCACTGTCGAAATGACACTGTTAAATTTTAGGAAATCCGTGTTAATGTTAGTTTTGCTTAAATTGGTCAAATGAAATATAAGATCCATTTTGGTCTATTAGATCATTTAGAGCAAATCTGACTGGGTGAAAATGTTTATCAGGTTGAGATCTGTCCGCCCTAAAATTTTAAGACGAATCAGACAACCCATTGTTGGGGTGCTGCCCCGGAATTGGTAATTTTAAGGATATGTTGCAGTTTTTGGTTATTATTTTGAATATTATTATAGATAGAAATAAACTGTAAACAGCAATGATGTTCAGCAAAGTAAGATCTACAAATAAGTCAAACATGACCAAAATTGTCAATTGACCCCTTAAGGAGTTATTGCCCTTTATAGTCAATTTTTCGTTGATTTTTTGTAATCTTTTACAAAAATCTTCTCCACTTAATCTGATGGACCAAATAGAATTAAACTTAGCCATAAATTTCAAAAGGGTATTTTGATTGAAAAATCTATCCGATGACCCTGTCATCCAACCAACATGGCTGCCATGGCTAAAAATAGAACATAGGGGTTTACTATAGAAGCCTAAGGGAAAATTGGAAAAAAAAAAATTTCAAATGGTCACAACTTGAAAACTAATTTAAATAGTGATAAGGGATCTTCAGTTACTATTGTACAACTACAAAGGGATGACCTGCTTATAATTTAACTACTGGGCCAAATTAAACCAACTTGGCCTCAATCATTATATATAGGGTATCAAATACTATTTATTTAGATTTTAACCTTATTTTACATGATTTCCAAAAACACAGTAGATACAGGTGAGCGACACAGGCTCTTGAGAGCCTCTAGTTTCAAGATCTACATCAAAACTTATACCTAGTAATTTAAAAGTAGTGTTTAACCCCAATCCAGATATTTTTGCAAACCAGTCTAATTTTAATAGTGATTCCTGCAGAGATTTTTCACTCTCATCCAAAATCAAAGAAGTGTCATCAGCAAATTGTTACAATTTATGTTAAACCCGTGTGACCTTGATACTCCTAATATCACTATTTCCCCTTATTTTCAATGCCAGAATCTCAACACATAAAATGAAAAGGTATGGAGACAGCAGGTTCCCTTGTCTACAACTTCTTCCAATCCTAAAAAAATCTGAAAGGTTTCCCCCCTGGATCACAGCAGAGTTGATATTATTATAAAAAAAACTTTAACCCTGTTAATGATAGAATCACCAAAATTCCTAAACAGTCATGCAAAATACTGGGGATTCATTAATTTTATGAATACCAATTTTCGTAGATGGAGGAAAATTTGTATTTTCGTGGATATTTGATTTTAATTACTGGTATTTTAAATTGGATCTGCAAAAGTTTGTAAACAAGCCTGTAGAAAGTGTATATGTCGTTGAAAATCTAAATTCCTAGTTTCCTTATACAATCAAATCAATGAAAATTTGTATCCAATGAAAAATAATTAATTGACAGTATGACTTAATTATTGTAATGCTAAGAAGTATATGATTTGGGCTTTTTCTATTTTACGCACTTTAAATGAAAAGAGCTTGATTTTTGTGTCTTTTGTAGAGTTGTGTGAAAGGGTTCAGTACAAAGAATGCCAACAGTTTAGTAACTCCACAATATTCCCTGGCATGTGGGGAAGTGAAAACCATGCCATGGCTGTCCAAGTTATGTCAGCATACCAATGGATTCTAGATTCGCAATGCTCAAATCATTCACTGAAGTATTTCTGTAGTGGAGCATTCCATCATTGTGATAAAGGTGTTAAAAAACTTCCTTGTAGAAGTTTGTGTGAAGGTAAGTGTACAGGTGGAGTCATTTTTATAATCATGTGTTATGTTTTTTAAAAACTTTCAGAAATAAAATTATTTTAAAACTTTTTACCATGATAACTGTAATGTAATGTTGATAAAGGGCAAATGTTCTTAAAATCAAGGCACATATAAAATAAGAAGAATTGGTTTAATTGCCAATGAGACAACTCTCCACCAAAGACCAAAAGACATAGAAGTTAACAACTCTAGGTCACTACATCCTTCAACAATGAGCAAAACCCATGCCCCTTATGTAATTAGGGCTATTTTTTAGAAATTACTCCTCATGTCACTTTTATAACCGGAAAAGTGTGTCTGTGATAGGAGAAATGTCTTGTAAAAAAACATCACATAAACCTCAATTTTTTCTCTCTCTAAATTATGTTTAAGTGGCAGCATATATTTGTTATCTGCTTCAGTTATACACCAGCTGGTCAAAAAATAATTCTAACTGGTCATGACCGAAAAATATGTAAGTTTTTGAAGCCTAGTTAACCACACTTGATATAAAATTCAGTTTGTAAAGAGTGAGGCTTAAACATCTCAGAAGCAGTATTTAAAACTTTCTATGTTTTACAATGGAACCCCTCTCATGTGTTCAACTCAGATCCAAATTGACTAGTATAGCTAGTTTCCCTGAATAAGGTCAGTGGTTCCTGGTACTCCAGGTTCCTTCAACAATAAAAACTGACCGCTATTATATTGCCAAGAGTGCTGAAAGTTATGTTAAACACCAACAATCAATCTTGTAAATTACTAGCTTTGAAAACCTTTATTTCTGACAAATTTTGTTTTATATTTTCAGTGGTTGTGAAGGAATGTCAACTCCCAGCAGATGTCTTTGATTGTACTAATTTGCCAGAATCTGATTGTATTCCCGTGGATACAGATAAACAGCCGCCAAGTAAGTACTTTAGTAGCATTATGAACAGTAGGTGATACAAGGTCTATGTCATGTCTATTTTAATGAGACAGCGACCTAAAAACAAAAGGTAAACACTAGGTCTTTAATAATAGACAGATATCTGTTTAATTTGTCAAGCTTTTTGTTGTACAATGTTAAAACGATTATGATGTTACCATCAAGACATGTTCTTCTTTGTGCAAATATAACTTAATTATTGTAAAGCAAAATAGCTGTCTTATATCTTCTTTTTAAAGGGAATAATACTCTTACATTATTTTGCTATTTTATGCACTTTCATATAAAATAACAAGGGTTTGGATTTTTTTTCTTTTGTAGAGGTGTGTGAAAAGGTGGAGTACAAAGAATGCCAACAGTTCAGTAACTCCACAATATTCCCTGGCATGTGGGGAATTGAAAACCATGGCATGGCTGTCCAAGTTATGTCAGCATACCAATGGATTTTAGATTCGCAATGCTCAAATCATTCACTGAAGTATTTCTGTAGTGGAGCATTCCATCATTGTGATAAAGGTGTTAAAAAACTTCCTTGTCAAAGTTTGTGTGAAGGTGAGTGTACAGGGGTTATTTATATACCATTCCATCACTGAAACAAAGGTGTTAAAAATCGCCCTTGTCGTAGTTTGTGTGAAGGTGAGTGTACAGGTGGCGCCATTTATATGTGGTACTATACTGGACGAGAACCAGTTACCGTCACCCGTCATTTTATTCAAAAATGGAATTGTTAAATAAAAACAACAGACTGCTGATATCTTCAGACAAATAACATATTGTAAAAATTCCTTTTTGTTTGATTTAACAAATATTGGGAAATGCCGAATTTTCTGTTACATGGCTTGGGAAGAGGTGTGTGTGGGGACATGATGTCATCGCTTAATGATGTTCTCGATTTTAGAAAACTGGAAAACTTTCTGTTTAAGACAAAGCAATATCTAACCTTGCTTTTGTATTTACAATTTCTTTCAAAAGAATTTAAAAGATTGAAAATTTTCAAAATTAAAAGTCTATACGTCTCTTCAATACAGTGTAAGTGGTTGATTTCAAGTGACAATAAAGCTCATGTTCATAGTAAGTAGGAGACCTTCCAAATTAAGGGTCAAAACGATGATTTGTTTGGTTCAATTGACATACCTTCTCTTGTTATATAAAAGCAAAATATGACATTGATTTCCCGGTTGAATGTAAATTCTATCATTTAGTGGCAAGATTCAAAAGTGATGGTAACTGGTCATCGTACCTATAAAATTTCCGGCAAAAATCAGCATACTAGTAACCCATTTTTTCATTTTTATGCCCCCAGATAGTAGAGGGGGCATTAAGTGATACCTTTTCCTGAAAGTAGTGTTAAACACTAACAATCAATCTTGTAAATTTCTTAGCTTTGAAAACCTTTATTTCTGACAAATTCTGTTTCATATTTTCAGTGGTTGTGAAGGAATGTCAACTCCCAGCAGAAGTCTTTGATTGTACTAATTTGCCAGAATCTGATTGTGTTCCTGTGGATACAGATAAACAGCCGCCAAGTAAGTACTTTAGTAGCATTATGAACAGGAGGTGATACAATGTCTATGTCATGTCTATTTTAATGAGACAGCAACCTAAAATCAAAAGACATCAAAAGGTAAACACTAGGTTTTTAATAATAGACAGATATCTGTTCAATTTGTCAAGCTTTTTGTTGTACAATGTTAATACGATTATGATGTTACCAACAAGACATGTTCTTCTTTGTGCAAATATAACTTAATTATTGTAAAGCAAAATAGCTGTCTTATATCTTCTTTTTAAAGGGAATAATACTCTTACATTATTTTGCTATTTTATGCACTTTCATATAAATTAACAAGGGTTTGGATTTTTTTTCTTTTGTAGAGGTGTGTGAAAAGGTGGAGTACAAAGAATGCCAACAGTTCAGTAACTCCACAATATTCCCTGGCATGTGGGGAAGTGAAAACCATGCCATGGCCGTCCAGGTTATGTCAGCCTACCAATGGGTTATTGATGCCCAATGCTCAAGTCATACACTGAAGTATTTCTGTAGTGGAGCATTCCATCACTGTGACAAAGGTGTTCAACAGCTTCCTTGTAGAAGTTTGTGTGAAGGTGAGTGTACAGGGGTCATTTATATAAGTATTGTACATGTACTCCAACTGACCTCATCTTGTGATGAAATTTTTCTGAAGTGGAGCAAAGATTTCTGGTAGAAGTTTGTAGGAAGATGACTGTAGAGGGGGTCAATCTTTTTTGTGGTGCATTGAAATTTATTTTGTTTATTGGTTACAAATATTCATGGATTTATAGGTTCCATGCAACCATCAAATACCACATTGATCCATAACCATTCAATGGTTCTTATTTTCATGGATTTTGTTGGTAGAGATGGACCAATAATTTAAGTATTCTACAGAATGCAATTTCCTACAGTGTTTCATAGAGATTTTGTCGAGACCAAGAAATACTATTTCCTTAATGCACAAAAATTGATATCAGGGAAAATAAAGGGATGCACAGTTCATATTTTACCATTTTTTACTATGAATTTAAAATTATTGATGTTTTCACAAACTGTGAAAATTGACACACATGAAGAAAAGAACTACCACACTAAATCAATCTTGAATTCAGTTTGTAAAGTATGAAGCATTCATCAATGAGGTTTTATCATCTCAGAAGCAGTATTTAAAACTTGCTATCTTAACCCTGTTCCTGGCAAGGTGAGTCAATATGGACTAGGATTGCTAGTTTTCCTACAGACAGTCTATCCTTGTAATCAGGCTTCCTCCAACAATAAGAATTGACTAACATGATATTGCAAAGAGTGATGAAAGTGGCATTAAACACCAGCAATCAATAAAACAATCTTATATGATTATTAGCTTTAGAAATTTGAATCTATCTCTGACTATTTTAATTTTTTATTTTCAGTGGTTGTGAAGGAGTGTAAACTCCCAGCAGACATCTTTAACTGTACTAATCTGCCAGAATCTGATTGTGTTCCCATGGATACAGATAAACAGCTGCCAAGTTAGTACTATAGTAGTATAATGAATAAAAGGAGATACAGGACTTTGTCAATTTCTTGTCTGTGAGACAGCAACCCAAAAAGTAAAGTCATCTAAAGGTAAACACTAGGTTTTCCATAATAAACAGATGTTTACAATAATTTAAGACTTAGAATGTGGTTTACAAATACCTGTATATAAAAATAGCTGCAACAATCATAATAATATTTTGTTATGCTGCAAACATTGAATGATATAATATCACCATTACACATTTTTTTAGTTGGTTTTGCCAACAAAAATAATTTGGTCTAGAACTGGGCTTATTGCTGTTGCTGGAACTATTGTTCACCAGAAATTTACACATAACTGAATAAACATTACTGACTGAGATGTCATATAGTTATAAGTTTGTGCTTGCATTTATTATTGTCATTGTCAAACAATGGACAAAAACAGGAGATTAATTATTGCAATTTTAGGAAATGCAGCACAAAATAATAGTGTCTTAGTTTAAAATGTGAATTTTCATATTTACATGACCTATCCCTTGGCAATTTTAAAAATTATAAAAGCATTGCAAAAATTGTTGACAGTATTATTTGCTGTAATAGCTATTGTATATCAAAGTTTTTATTTTAGATTGTACATTAACTGGACAAGAGACCTGTCCTGATGGTTCCTGCATTATGTCTGAGTGGTTGTGTGATGGCGAGGCTGATTGTTCAGACAACTGGGATGAACAAAATTGTTGTAAGTGCTTCTATTTTTTCCATTTTTTTTATTAAATTTTCAAATCAAAACATAATGGATAAGATCTTTCCTGATCACTGGCAAATTTTTCACATCATATTGCTGTATATAGATAAAGCAAATTTCCAAAATTATTTATATCTTTAGGTGATTGAGTTTGTTATAGGTATTTTTTTATGAGATGCTGACCTATTTTACCTTTTGTAGCTAAATGTTCTGCTGAGCAGTTTACCTGTCAAGATGGAAGTTGTGTACCTGGAACAGAAAGATGTAATGCATTGGCAGCATGTCCTGACAAATCAGATGAACGGGATTGTGGTGAGTTATCTCCCCTGACTAATCAGATAATGAGATTCTGGTGAGTTACCTCCCCAGAAAATCAGATGAATAAGATTATGGTGAATTATCTCCCCTAACAATTCAGATGAATATGATTTTGGTGAGTTATTTTCCCTAACAAATCAGGTAAATGAAATTGTGGCAATAAATCAGAAAAATAAAATTATGGTGAGTTACCTCCCCTTAGGAGATGTGGGGTAGAAGACAATGAGACAGCAACTCAAAAAAATGTTATACTGGAACATCTTTAGCCAATGAAAATGTCACAAGAAAATATGTTTTACTATACTTCAGTGAACCAAAGCCTGTTAAGTCTGCGGTTGTTAGAATATATATCTTAATTGGATACCATGGTTATGATGGGGGGGGGGGGGGGGGGGGGTAATAATCATTAAAATATAAAAACAACACATTTTTTTTTTTTAAAAGACTTGAATGTCCTCATGGACTGAGACATGTCAGTTAAAGAAAAAATATCTGTATTTTCTAAGAAAATTATTGTTATCATCATTAAAAAAAGACAAGTATCATTTGTACACCAGTTTAATTTTTGTTTATTTTATTTGTAGTACGTCTAAGTGAGATAGTACCTGGTGTATTGATGATGAATTACAAAGACTACCATATTCCGTTATGTTATGACAGCTGGTCAGATACATTTGGTTTTTATACATGTTCATATCTTCTCGGAAATCAGTAAGTATCAATTTACTTGTTTTTCTTATATATTATCTATTATAAAAATTTAAACTTTAAAGAAACAGTAATTTGATTGTGCCTTTAATTATGCATTATGTAGCATTCTGCATACTCAATGAATTGAACTTAGTGAAAATTTAAACCAGGGTTATGTAGGTATTAAGTAAAATGATGTTCAGTGTTAGACAATAAATATCCAGTACTTTTTGCTAAACATGCACTGAAGATGAAAAAAAATAAATATATACCTTGAACAAGGTATATGTAAAATGTAAAGGTGAGTGATTGGGGGTGGGGGTGGGGGGTGGGATATTTCAAATTTTGTGAAATTTAATTCATAGGTAGCAAATATTCGTTTATTGGTTCTACTAAAGTGTGACACAAATAAACTCAATTTGATAATCGTCCTTTAAATGTTTGGTAGAGGCAAACCTGTAAAAACAGAACTGTGTCAGGGAAAATATTTTGTTTGTATTACACAGGTCAAGATACTGAATTAGAATCACGTTTTAAGACAATATGTAAACAAATGTTTTCTACTGATCTGAAAATAATACTTGTATCTGTGTTTAACTTTTATCATTAGATATAATTCTTTTTTCATACCGTCAAAATAGCAAAGTCTGAGAAAGGGAAACTTGTTTTTATTATTGAAATTTCTACTATGGGAGAGCTGAGAGGAACCAAACTGTACTTTGATTATAAAAAAAAAAAAAGTTATGGAAAGTATCAATAAGAATAAAAGGAGATGAGTGGTACCAGTATATGTCACTGAGGCTGCAAAAATCGTAAAAGATTCAGAGAAGACATGTAACTAATGTTAAATTATTTAATATTTATTATTTCAGTAACTTTACAAAGTCTTCTGATGTAGTGTTTCCAGCCAGGACATATGCACATCTTGTACCTCAAGAAGAAGCAGGTGCATATCATTCACAGATTGGTTACTTAGTTGCAAAGTTAGTATATCTACATGTCTTAAGGTGGTACCCAACACCTTGACTAATATTAATTTGGCTCGTTTAATTTTCATAAAATTTTGACAAAATGTTTACTTTGACCCTTTGACAAAAATATAAAAATTTCAAAAAATTTGAACCAACCACTTTATCAGAAAAATTTCATTGGTTATATAGCAGTTTGACAAACACTAATTTTGATCATTGAGAAGCTTAATATTTCCTTTACAATACAACTTTATTAAAACGTTTAGCTGATTTTTACAGAGTTATCTCCCTGTAGTGTTAGCTACCTCCTTAAAGAAGAAATTTTAATCGAAAAGCATGACTTTTTTTACTCTGAATAAAATCTATTCAAGGTAATCTCTAATTGTTTATTTTGTAGAAAATCTTAACTTGTAAAATGACAAACAAGTGATACCAGTTTGATAGTAAAATAGAAGAAATATATATATATCAGCAATTAATTCTGTTAGAAATTCATTTTAACCAATTTTTACCTTGTTTTTTTCTATCTTTTTAAAGAAAACTAAATGGAAAATATCAAATGAAAATCATTTATTAGCTCTATATTAATAGTGGTAATAATATTAGACAGAACTAGCAAATATTTATGAAAAATATTTACAATCAGTCAATGATACTTAGACACAATATTGTATATTTGTTTTGTTTCATTACAGGTCAACTTGTAAAGACAATAAGGTTGTGTCATTACAGTGTGTGCCTAAAGGTGAGATTATTTTAGGTCTGTCTGTATGTCTGTCTGTCGGCACTAAGTTGTTTGTTCTTAAATATTTTTTTTTTAACTGTGTAGAATAATTGCTTCTGTACACAATATTTGTGTTGATATTTATTTTTTCTCAAGAATTATTGCTCTTTGAATTGAGAAATATTGGTTACATTATCCCGTTTGTCAATAACATATTTCTTACCGATAAATTATAACAATCAGAAGCTTATGGGCAATACATTTCTTTCATTAAGAATAAATATGGTTTGAAGTAGTCATATTTTGGTATATTTGAAGATCATGGTCTGAAATGGTAAATTTAGGTGCCTAGAAGTGGGAAAAATATTTCAATATTATGTTTGAAACAGAGTTAGATTAGAAGTAGCTGAATATTTGTATTTTACATAGATTGTGATAAATAAATGATTATTTTTATTTTATATAGGTTGTGGTCAGAAGCTTATAGGAGGAGGAATGGTTGGGTATATTGTCAATGGGTACACTGCAGCTCCAGGGGCATGGCCATGGCAGGCAGCACTAGAATTACAAGTAACAGGAACAACAAAATTCCGTAAACATTTGTGTGGTGGCGTGCTCATATCATCAAACTTTGTGTTAACAGCTACTCATTGCGTCAAGTATGTCTATGATAAGATTTAATAGCACAAGAATACAAATATAAAGGTTAAATATCAATTAATTTAAAATGCTTCCTAGTGTTAAGAATGTTTTCAACTTTTATGAAATATTTTGTTAACCCCTCTGACTTTTTCCTGGGATATGTTTTACAGAAAATATTTTTGCTTGACAAACCTTATATTTTTTCACTTATAATTGTTTTCTAATTTCTTATGTATTTTCTATTTTGTTTAACATTAATTTATATACTTGAATTTCAAAAGAATATCAAGAGATCCTGCCTGAAATCTCTATAAATAGAACTATAATTTTGCTGCATTTTATATTATTTATTTAGAAAAAAAAACACTTTATGAATAGTAATTTTCAATTTTAACTGCAAATTTTTTTAATCACTGATTTTTTTTACTGAACTTTTTTATTCAAATGTAAAATTTATGGTGAGTTGTAATGTACTTAAATGAAATAATTATATAGAATTCAAGAGCAATAGCTGGAATGCATTCTGATAGTCTTGAGATAATTTTCCCATAGACGTAGATGGAAACTATAAATTCAAGTAATTATAGTATAAACATGTTTTGTGAGAATAAAAACTGATTGTTCTTTTGAAAATTATTTTTTTATATTTGTTAAATAGATAATATGATGCAAACATTGTTAAAACCTGTACAAAAATATTATCTATTTCAGTGAATACTCTGATGTTAAACTCTACCGTGTTATTCTTGGCGCTTCCAACCGGAATAATCTTGGTGCATCATCAAAAACCTATGAAGTGGAACGTATTGACAGATTTGATGATAAATGGTATAGTTTCCAGTCAGGGGACATAACTCTACTACAGTTAAAACAGACAGTAGAGTATACACCATACATACAGCCGATATGCTTACCGTCTGAATCAGATGAGACACCAACAACAGCTATTTGTTATGGGACAGGCTGGGGGCAGTTGACTGGTGATAAAGATGGTATGGTATAAAAGATTTTAAAACTGTATAAAAAAAATGTAATGTAAATTATTGAAGGCTGTGCCGAGACACTGAGAGATGTCTTTTAGACTCTGGTAAATAGTTGCAACATAGGAATTCATACCACATCTTATTGTTTCAATGAAGTTTCTCAGGTTAGGAAATCAAACAGCTTTTGAAGTTCCAAAAAATCACCCCATGTAGTTAAGAATAGAGGCATTCCACTGGATGCAGTGGTCAAATATATAGATATAACTGACTAAGATCTATTATGACAGAAATCAGTTTTAATTAAGAATTTCAGGTGTAGATTCATGAATTTGATTAAATGGGTATTGTGGTTCTCAATTTTTGTATGTTTTAATACCCCCGCTTTAAAAAAGTGGGGGTATACTGTTTTACCTCTGTCTGTCCGTAGGTCAGTCAGTCCGTCCATCTGTCCCATGAATATTTTTCTTCGCATCTCTCAGGAACTACATTACAAGGATTTCTGAAATTTAGTTTCAGGGTTTATATGAGTCAGCTATACCGTGTGATGTGTTTTCAGATTCATCACTCAACAACTTCCTGTTTACCTTATACTTTTAGTGGACGGGGGTATCATTAGTGAGCAGTAGCTCACAGATTCACTTGTTTTTTTTTATTAAATCGGTTGTTGTATGAAGTTGTTTGGCAAATCTGCAACGGATGCTAATCCCATTTGAATTTACCCTCAAACATTTCTGTGTTGGTAAAAATCAATTCAGAAATATTTCATTTCAATCTTGCTTTGTTTAACCTTTTTTGCTTTCTTTTTTAAGGGGGAGGGGGGGTGTGTTATTGAGTGAGTGATTAAATCTTGCAAAAAGATATTTCCATTTTATGATTTCCTAAGCTTTAAAGTAAGAATCTTGATAATTTTCGTAATTTAGTTAATATAAAACGCTTGTTTTTATAAAATATTTACACTTTAACCAGATATTTTCTATAATTTTCAGGGGAATTTGCTGATGATCTTCAAGAACTGAAATTGAAACTTTGGAAGACAGAGAAATGTAATGGAAGCCAAGCTTGGAATGGTAAAATAGCTCATGGTTATGTATGCGGTGGATATGAATCTGGTATTAGATCTATGTGTTCAGTAAGTTATAAATTTTGTATTTATAAATTCACACGTTTCATCTCCTTAAAATGATTAAAAATGATTTAACTCATGTTAAATATTTTTGGAAAAATTATGTAATATTGATTGATTAATTATTGGTGTTTAACGCCACTTTCAGGGCTGTTGGCTATTTTGTAGCAGCCAGTTTTTATTGGTGGAGGAAGCCAGGGAGGGACCTCAACCTTTGGCAGGAAAACGGCAATCCTAGTCAATTAAGATTTGAGTTGAATGCACCTGACATGTGCAGAGTTCCAACTCAAAATCTCAGGGTTGACAGGAAAGTGATACAGTAGATGAATTATTTTGACTACTCAGCCACCTAGAACCCTATTATGTTAAAGTAATGATGAAACAGTATAGTAAGTTAACCAATATATTTATTTGCTCTCTCAAAGAGACAGCGAAGAATAATAGTATAATAACCTGTTTATATTTTGTTTTATTAGGGAGACAGTGGAGGCCCTATGGTATGTCAAGATAATCAGAATAACTGGTACCTTAAAGGAATAGCAAGCTATGTGGCAAACTTCTGTAACATGACAAATCGTCCAAATGTCTTCACAGATGTACAAACTTACCTCGGATGGATTAACAACAACACAAGTAAGGAACTATTTAACTCTTTAATGGTCACATTTTTATAATTTTTTCCTATACTGTAAGGGGCTTGGTGGCCAAGTGGTCTATGTTGTATTTACTGTATCACTAGCCTATTAACACTTAGGTTGTGAGTTTGATCCCTGTACGTGGCAGGTGCTTTCAATTCCAATATCAATTGACTAGGATTGCTGGTTTTCCTGTCGGAGGTAGTGTTTCTCTCCAGGCACTCCACATTCCTCCACCAACAAAAACTGGTTGCCATGATATGGCTAAGAGTGCTGAAAGGACACTAAACACCAACAATCAATCAATCAATCAATTAATCCCATGCTGCATGATGTTTTCAGCATTACATTGTGCAAATACAAACAAAGAGTACCAGATAAATTACAACAAACACAATTTCCTGATGTTAACCAGGTATCCTTTGAATCTATAAATACTTTTTCAATATCTTTTAAAGGTAATACTTTACCTAATGATTTAAACAATAACAACCTGTAAAAGAAGATGTAAGTTTGTATCAAAATCATTTAATGACTTGTCTCAGGATCAGGTCAGTAAAATTATTAATGGTATCCACATTGTGATTAAAAGTTTTACAGTAGGATAACATTGTATTTTAAAATATTTATTTTTCAGAGTGTATATTTAAATGTAAAAATGGGAAATGTATTTATGATAGTCAGTTGCTATGCAACAGGGAAGATAATTGTGGGGACAATTCTGATGAGATAGACCAATGTGGTGAGTAATCCAAAGAGTTATATATTCTGCTGCATAAACTTATTTTCATTGTTAATTATGAAGGGCAATGTGTGTGAAATTTCTTCTTTGATGATGTCACAACTACTTATAGATGAAAAATTCTTGATACTTAAGTTACTTGAAAACATTCTTGATACTAAAGTTACTTGAAAACATTCACGGTTTTCCTGTTTGAATGGTTTTACACTAGTAATTTTTTTGAGGCCCTTTATAGCTTGCTGTTCGGTGTGAGCCAAGGTTCCGTGTTGAAGACCGTACTTTGACCTATAATGATAAAATTGAGAATGAAAATGGGGAATGTGTCAAAGAGACAACAACCCGACCATGGAGCAGACAACAGCCGAAGGCCACCAATGGGTCTTCAATGCCGCGAGAAACTCCCGCACCCGGAGGCGTCCTTCAGCTGGCCCCTAAACAAATATGTATACTAGTTCAGTGATAATGGACGTCATACTAAACTCCAAATTATACACAAGAAACTAAAATTAGAAATGATACAAGACTAACAAAGGCCAGAGGCTCCTGACTTGGGACAGGCGCAAAAATGCGGCGGGGTTTAACATGTTTTTTGAGATCTCAACCCTCCCCCTGTACCTCTAGCCAATGTAGAAAAAACAAACATACAACAGTACGCACAGTAAAACTCAGTTTAAGAGTTACTTTTATAAATTTTGACTTGGATGGAGAGTTGTCTCATTGGCACTCACACCACATCTTCTTATATCTATGAAATGTTAAAGTTGCGGGAATTGTTAAATTATGTATTATTTTAAAGTTTTTAAATGATAAGAAATATAATTATTTTAAAAACTTTTTTTAAAGAAATTTATGACACATTAAGTTAAGTTTGTCTGATTTCCAGATGTTTCTGTGAACTGTACGTTTGACGACAAATTCATGTGCGGATATGATATTGAGGGATTTCAACAACAAAGACAAATTCTAAATTCTCAGGACCCAACAACTTTACCATCATTTGACCACACCTTTGGTCGTTATCCAGGTATGAATTTAAGAGCTTTTGATAATATGGACATGATTTATATCTCGGAAATTAAACATTTCACTATCACTTAAACACACATCCATAAAAACCGAAAAAAACTTATGAGCTGTGTCGGATAGAAACGACCTTATGCAAATTTATAAATACATCTGTTAACCTATTTTGGGTTGAACAAATATCTATACAAAAGTCTGTAACTGTTTGTAAATTAAGTTAGTATACACATGTCTGGAATATCTTCTTCATCTCAAGCCAGTTACAACATTTTTATTTTATTTTAAGCCTAATAAAAATTGTTTCTTCTACGGTTAGTGAGGGCAGATAAACACCATCAAAGTAATTTTTTTTTATGGAAAAATGAATCCACAAAAATACAGAAAACCATATTATTGTTTATAAGTTGAAAAGCTATTTTTCCCAGCCAATGAAATAGAACTAGCTTCACTTAAATCGTCATTATTTTCAGGATACTATATGGCGGGAAAAACCCCTTCATCTTCAGGAAGTGAAGCAAGACTGACCTCACCAAAGTTTACAATACAAGGTTCTGCATGTATCAGATTTTTCTATAATCTCCGTGGAGACCTGAATGCTGGCTTGAAGGTACGAATGTACACCTTCTCCACAGCAGGAGACAGGTTGCAAGGACAACAGGTATGGGCGTCAGGAGAAGGTATATTTAAAGACAAGTGGAGACTGGGATATATTGATCTGAGTATAGGGACATACGAGATAGTATTCATCGCCAACGACGGGATGCAGGTTGCTGTTGATGACGTATCATTACACAATGGAATGTGTTCTCAGTCAGGTAAAATTATATCGCAAAAGCTAAGGGGCTCTTATCACAAAAAATCTTAAGACAAAAATTTATTATATGTAATACTGAAATGTTCATGACTTCATAAGTATTTTTCTCGTAAGGTATTTTGTGAAATAATTTGCAAGCTCTCAAATTGCCCCTGAGACAAAAAATTTCAGATATTCCATATGTTTGCTAAATTTGACAAATTCTGATTTTTGTAAATGTAAATAAACATTTATGATATATATAAAAGTTTAACATCCTGATTTCATTATGAAACATAACATGACTGAAAACGAGAGTGCCAAATTTTATGCATTTTTTGCACCCTTATTTTAGAGAAATAAACATGAAGGGATTGGACGGCTCAACAATTATTGAAACCTTCTATTTATTGAATTTCTTAATAGCAAGCAAATCTATCAATGCGACAAATACCATGAAATCATATCCAAACTCACTAACAAAAAAGAGAATACCAATAGAGAGGAATTAAGTTCTCCTTTATTTATTGTTGTGGATAAACTATAGCTATACAATAGGTTTTCATTGTCAACTCTTTTGATCTGTTTTAATACTAAAAAATGAAATTCATTATACAGTCAAACCTATATGTAAAGGTCACATTTGCGACAAAAGAAAAGTGATCTTTGAATTAAGGTTCACAGTGTTCAGTTATTATTACAGTGGAACAAGAAGAGGATGACCTGATAGGACAGGTGTTCGCTTAAATCAAAATCAGAATAATTTATTACAGTGTCACTTACCAATATAAATTACAATGAATGCATAATTATATGATATGCAAAGTTAAATATTACAATTAAAACATTGGTACCCAGTCTCATTACTGACTTAGGAGGCACTTTAGAAATAACACATGTTATAAACAATTAAGACTTAAGCATTAAAGATATCATTACACACAACACCTTCTTCGATAGAACATGTTAGAGGAGACTTTTAAAGCAGGTTTCACTGTATATGAAAAATAAAGTTCACTGATCTATATTTTAGTTTGCCTTACAAATGAGTATAAATGTACATCTGAAGCTGGAAGTGATGCCTGTATTTCCTTTAATTCCCTGTGTGATGTTGTTAAAGATTGCCATTCAGATGAACTAAACTGCAATCGTAAGTATTCATTACCCATAATTCCCTGTGTGATGTTGTTAAAGATTGCCATTCAGATGAACTTAAATGCAATTGTAAGTATTCATTACCCATAATTCCCTGTGTGATGTTGTTAAAGATTGCCATTCAGATGAACTAAACTGCAATCGTAAGTATTCATTACCTATAATTCCCTGTGTGATGTTGTTAAAGATTGCCATTCAGATGAACTAAACTGCAATCGTAAGTATTCATTACCCATAATTCCCTGTGTGATGTTGTTAAAGATTGCCATTCAGATGAACTAAACTGCAATCGTAAGTATTCATTACCCATAATTCCCTGTGTGATGTTGTTAAAGATTGCCATTCAGATGAACTAAACTGCAATCGTAAGTATTCATTACCCATAATTCCCTGTGTGATGTTGTTAAAGATAGCCATTCAGATGAACTAAACTGCAATCGTAAGTATTCTTTACCCATAATTCCCTGTGTGATGTTGTTAAAGATTGCCATTCAGATGAACTAAACTGCAATCGTAAGTATTCATTACCCATAATTCCCTGTGTGATGTTGTTAAAGATTGCCATTCAGATGAACTAAACTGAAATCGTAAGTATTCATTACCCATAATTCCCTGTGTGATGTTGTTAAAGATTGCCATTCAGATGAACTAAACTGCAATCGTAAGTATTCATTACCCATAATTCCCTGTGTGATGTTGTTAAAGATTGCCATTCAGATGAACTAAACTGCAATCGTAAGTATTCATTACCTATAATTCCCTGTGTGATGTTGTTAAAGATTGCCATTCAGATGAACTAAACTGAAATCGTAAGTATTCATTACCCATAATTCCCTGTGTGATGTTGTTAAAGATTGCCATTCAGATGAACTAAACTGCAATCGTAAGTATTCATTACCCATAATTCCCTGTGTGATGTTGTTAAAGATAGCCATTCAGATGAACTAAACTGCAATCGTAAGTATTCTTTACCCATAATTCCCTGTGTGATGTTGTTAAAGATTGCCATTCAGATGAACTAAACTGCAATCGTAAGTATTCTTTACCAATAATTCCCTGTGTGATGTTGTTAAAGATAGCCATTCTGATGAACTAAACTGCAATAATAAGTATTCTTTACCAATAGGGAATAATAAAAATTTCTCCAAGACTTTAAAGGCAAACTGTTAGATCAGTAAAACAGTCATTTTTCCTAACTTGTATTAACAAAGTTTATTAAGACATTTTTTCAAATTTGTTAATTTTTTCTGTTTACTAACTTTTTTTTTTCTACAAATTTGGACCAATCATATTTAAATTGAGCAGAAATTTGTGTCTATCTCTAATTATCTTTTTGGGGCGCTGTCTCATTGACTTGTACCCACCTCTCATTTTATTTACCTCTTATATCCAATTATGAATGTATATGTACTGAATACTTTGCGTAATGGCTCATTGATAAATTTGACAAAATCTAACATTTTCCAGTCGAGTGAAATAAAGCAAAAGATAACCTTGACAATATTAAAAATTCTCCAGTCAAGATATATATTTAAAAAGTATTGTTTTTTTTTCAGATTCTGAGAGACACTATAGTTGTCAGTTTGAGAACAGTGTACTTTGTGATATCCAGCAGGAGACCTTTGACAATGGAGAATGGCTGATTATTAACCAGACATATACAAGATCATTTGTATTGTACAGTGAATCTTTCCCTGATCACACTACCGGGACAGATCAAGGTAAACAATTGTGATTTTGATGAAAGTATAAAGTTCTTACTGAAGAGTGGTAATTTCCTGATTGTTTTATTTTTTCTAATTTTGGAATTAAAATAAATATCCTGTCATCTAAATTTGGTAGTTGAGGAAGATCAGAACAAAAACAAGAAAATTGTGAAACAACTGTAAAACTTTTCGAACAGGTTGGACCTCGTAATCACCAAATTTTCACCTCTGCCAAAAAAAAAAACATATGTTACAGTTTTTTTTAGATATGAAAATAAGGAAAAGTCATTCCCTGAAAGCGTAGGATCACAAAATATCTTTAAAACAGGAAGAGGAATAGGGTGTTGTCAGATCCTTGTAAGAAAAGTGTCCACACAGGATCATTATTTCAATCAGATTGTAACTTGATTGTAGAAAGATATTAGTTTTGATATGAATATTATAACATAACAACATAATGAACCTTACAGTTGTTTTACTGTCTTGAAAAAATCCCTTGCAATTCAAGATTTTATTTGATGGTAGTTACGTCTATAAATGAATGCATTTATCCTCCAATAAAAGTTATATGCAATATATATGAATATTGAAAAACAAGGACCTTTTAAAATATTTTAACAATTGATATGAAGCTTTTATGTTCACAAGTTAACTTTATCGTAGAGACGACCAGACCAAAAGTTTACGAAGCTTTTATGTTCACAACAAGACTGGTGTTTTGGACAATATAAATGAATTGATATTATTAATTTCTCCTTTCAGGATATATGTTATTTTTAATGACTAACCTTTTGATGCGGTCAGAATTTGTTGCCATGACATTAGATGTATCACTTCAAGACAAAGATTTCTGTTTGACCTTCTGGTATAGGTCAAAAACAGAGGCAACTTTCAAGGTTGGTTTAATTACCTTAATGTAAACCAAATTTTTTTCACAGTTAATCTTTTTCAGCTGACTTTACAGCGATTTGTTTTTTGCTTTTTTTTTATTTTGAAAAAGTATTCACATCAGAGAAGATTCACGTTTTTTCTTCGAAATTTGCAAAATTAAATCGCTCTCTGAAATTAGTTGGTTTTCATTAACCATTTACACAGAAGACATTATTGTTTATCATATATCAGGATTTCCATCGTCTAGAATTGTCAGTTCTTATCAACCATATTTACATTGTTATAGATCTTTCAATGTGTGTTTTTTGATGGAGGATTTTTTCATTGTGTTATTTATGTTTCCATTGATGCAGTTATTAAGGTTAAGTTGAGTTCTCACAAACTACATGTAATTTATCCCAAATCACATAAATCTCTCCATGAAATCAAAACATATTTTCTGTCTATATACGTAAACTTTGTTTTGTCCATTTTGGACTTAAGTATTGATCTTGAGTCTTTATAAAAAGAAGATGATGTGGTATGATTGCCAATGAGACAGCTCTCCACTAGAGACCAAATGACATAGAAGTAAGCAACTATAGGTCACTGTACAGCCTTTAACTATGATCCAAACCCATACCTTAGTTGTCTTTTCAATACTTAGAACAACTTTTCTAGACAAGAGAAGATTTTGAGTTTGTTTTATGCTATGGAAGCTTGCCTATTATTTAAAAGTAAATGATTACTTTTATAGGTTTATTACGTTTGATTGAGTTACATTTTACTTTTTTTATGTTTACCTAATTCTATTTTTTGTAATATTGACATTTATACACATAGAGTAAAACAAGTATCCACCAGAGACCAAGTAAAGTGTATGTAAGCAACTATAGGTCACCATATGGCTTTCAACAATGAGCGAAACAAATACAGTATACTGTGAATTCAGAAATTATTGCATGCTTTTCTTATTGCTATTTTTTAAGAACGGAGGAAATGCAAAATTTATTATTGTGATTTCAGGAAAAAATGCATACAGATATATGTATTAGATATCAGGATGCAAGTTTTTATTATTATGATTCTCGTCAAGTCACATTTTTCGCATTAATTAAAAGTATAAAGTCGGCTATGAAAGGCCTTGACATGTCAAAAGATAAAATATACGACCTGATTTATGAAAAAATAATAATAAAAAAAAAAAAAAGAATGACAGATACTAACTAAGGACAATTACTGAATAAATTGTTATCTTTTTTAATAACTGTATACATTCAATCTGTAGATTGACATCCTTAACACTACATCTGTTATGACTCTAATGAGTTTCACAGACAGAACCACAAAAGATTGGACCAAAGCCCAGATGCAACTTCCACCAATGAATGATGCTGTTATTAAATTCACTGTTGTCAGGGAAACACCTGCTATCCATAGTTACTACAAACCACATCTGGCCCTAGATGATATACAGATATCCAATGGACTTTGTCCTGATTATGGTAGGTTGAAATGGACTTTGTCCTGATTATGGTAGGTTGAAATGGACTTTGTCCTGATTATGGTAGGTTGAAATGGACTTTGTCCTGATTATGGTAGGTTGAGACTGTTCCGGAATCTAAAGGACTATTTAACCAATCAAAAGGTTTTGTGTATGCTTTTGAAAAAATTACCCAGAATTCATTTGATTCTGAATTGTTGAATTTATGGATGTGTACTAAGGCTTTGTCAGGGAAACAGATTGTTTAAGCTAAGTATAAACATAAGGAGATGTGGTATGAATGCCAATGAGACAACTATCCACCAAAGTTAAAATGAAGTTGATTTAAGCAATTATAGGCAGCCGTACCAGATTTAATTTAATAGAAAAAAAACCAAAACAAAACAATTTTGCAATATCAAAGAAATATAATCTCTTTGCTCTGATTTTTTTATATTGATTTTTAAATAAAAACAGTGATTTTCATTATTTATAGTGATACAAAATAATTACTATTGATTAACATTCTAGATTTCTTTGTAGTAGAATTGAAATTATATTTTTTAATATTTACTGACAGCAGTCTATAATTTGCTGGGTGTAAATAACCGTTTACTGTTTTCACTGTGACTTAAAGCCAGTAAACTTTTGACATTTATGATAGTTTATATGAGTTGCTCAGTTGTTAGTTTTCTATGTTGTGTTTTGTGTTTTGGACTTTTTCTTTTTTAGCCATGGCGTTGTCAGTTTATTTGCAACTAATGAATTTGAGTGTCCCTTTGGTATCAATCGCCTCTCTTATATAAGTTGGTAGATTAGAACATCATTAAAAATTAGGGTTTCATTAGCTGAGATGTCTAAATAGTTCATCAACAGTGATCACTAACCTGTTAACACTGAGGTTGTAAATTCGTGGCAAGGTGCGTTTGACTGCTAACTTAATTAACTAGGATTGCTGCTTTTCCTGCTGAAGTTTGTTGGTTCTCTCTGACTTCCTCCATCAATAAAATCTGGCTGTTATGATATAGCCAAATGTACTGAGAGTGGTGTTAAACACTAACAATCAATCAATCAATTATCATTTAGAAATTACAGATGACAATATCTTGTTCTGTAGGTTGTCCAGAGAATTGGAGTAAATGCGGTAACGAGAACTATTGTTATTCCCCTGAAGAAAAATGTGACAGAAAACTACAATGTTCAGATGAATCTGATGAAATCAACTGTAGTAAGTTATTTTATTAAGTAAAATTTTGAAAATCTGGTCCCTTTTTATTTTAAATTTTTTTTAAAAAGGGATAAATTATTTATTATGATTATTATAATGATTACTTTTATTATTATTATTATTATTATTATTAATATATTACATATGTACAGTGTATCAAAACATTGACATGGTAGATTTATGTGTTGTATAAATTTACTTAATTATTCTTTAATAGATTGTACCGACGATGAGTTCCCTTGTGGTAGTGGAAGATGTATACCATTATCTCAGAAGTGTGATCGGATTGTTCAATGTTTGGACGGCTCAGATGAAGGAGATATATGTGGTAATTACTGTTCTCTAGTTCTTACCTTACTGTTCTCTAACTCTCACCTTACTGTTCTCTAATTCTCACCTTACTGTTCTCTAAATCTTACCTCACTGTTCTCTAATTCTTACCTTACTGTTCTCTAGTTTTCACCTTACTGTTCTCTAGATCTCACCTTACTGTTCTCTAATTCTCACCTTACTGTTCTCTAATTCTCACTTCAGTGTTCTTTAATTCTCACCTTACTGTTCTCTAATTCTCACCTTACTGTTCGTTAGATATAACCTTACTGTTCTCTAATTCTTACCTTACTGTTCTCTAATTCTCACCTCACTGTTCTCTAATTCTCACCTTACTGTTCTCTAATTCTCACCTTACTGTTCTCTAATTCTCACCTCACTGTTCTCTAATTCTCACCTCACTGTTCTCTAATTCTCACCTTACTGTTCTCTAATTATCACCTCACTGTTTTCTTATTCTAACCTCACTGTTCTCTAAATCTTACCTTACTGTTCTCTAATTCTTACCTTACTGTTCTCTAATTCTCTCCTTACTGTTCTCTAACTCTCACCTTACTGTTCAATATGAATGTCAAATTTCTTTGCTGTCCTCTGATTTGATATTGTGACATCACAAAAAAGACAACAATGCCTAATGATGTCACATAGAAAGGCGACCATGCCTTAAATGACGTCACATAGAAAGATGAAAAACTTTTGGCTTTTACAGCTTCTTTATTTGCTTTGAATATAACAAAAATTAATGCAAAAAAAAATGGATACTTGAAAGTTTTCAAGAATTTGCAAATTTCCAGATTTTGATATTTTTGTCCATAAATATTTCTTTACAAAATATTGTACTTATCTATTATCTGTTTTTTCGCACCTTCTAATTATTTTCACCCATGAATATACAATGATTTATTTCAGATCCTATGAATGCAGTGTCTTGTATCTTTGAAAGTCCTTATCTTTGTGGATATACAGTATTGTCTAACAGTTCACTGACAAATGAATACAGATGGTTGTGGACTTCTGGTGAAACCCCATCTTTTTATACTGGTCCCAAGAGCGACCACACCACAGGAACAACTCTAGGTATGTATGATACTGGGACCAGTCTGGTGTATCCCATTAGAGCTAGGATATCCCTTGTCAAAATATGTCCATTTTTTACACTCAAATTTAAGATGATAAGGCAATTAAATACAATTTTTTTCCTGAAGTGTGTTAAAAAACCTGTAAAATGAATTTAACTTTATAGGATATTAATATTTTCAGAAATATAAGGCCCTGAATACTTTAATAAGTCTTGGGGTTTATCCCTTAGGAAAAAAGGGAATATTGTTAAATGCTTCTAATCTTCTATTAGGTTATGGTTTCGCTGAAAAAAAACATGTCCTTTTTTTTTTTTGATCTACTCTTCACAAGAAACATTTTTCAACAAAGGAAACATCTGGTTATTGATTTGTGAAGTAAGGCGGGCGCATAGAGTCGGCTGCTAATAGTGTCTGTTCAATAAATTATGAATCATTCAACCAATGCTTTTCATATTTTATTATGTTGTTACTGATCACAAAGTTGAGGTCAAGTTCCATATTGATGATTTTCACTTTTACCTTCAGAAGTGTTTGTTCTTGATATAATGGAAAATAACACTTTATGTTGTTTCCATGCAATAACTTATGAACCATTCAACCAATGCTTTTCAAATTTTAATATAATGTTAGTGATTACAACATGAAGGTAAAGTTGAATATTGACAATTTTCTCCTTTATCATTTAGGGGGGCCTTGGTGGCTGAGTGGTCTAAGTAGTCACTACTGTAATCACTTGCCAGTCAACACTGAGGTTGTGAGTTCGAACCGATCTCGTGCGGGTGCACTCGATTCCAATCTTAATTGACTAGGATTGTCAGTTTTCCTATCGATGGGCGGTGGTTTTCTCCGGGCACTCCGGCTTCCTCCACCAATAAAAACTGGCCGCTACGAAATAGCCCAAAAGCGGTGCTTAAAAGTGGTGTTAAAACACCAAAAATCAAATTTATCATTCAGGAGTTATGGTCCTTGATATATTGGAAAATGACACCTTTATGTTGTTTCCATGCAATAACTAATGAATCATTCAACCAATGCTTTTCAAATTTTTGTATGTTGTTAGTGATTACAAAATGGAGGTTTTGACCATTAATGACGATTTTTACTTTTACGTTCAGCTGTTATGGTCCTTGATAGATTGAAAAATAGGCACAGAACGTGGCAGGTCAAAAAAGCCTAAAAGTGTCTTCAAAATATAAAAAACCAGATGGCTGTCAATTTGACAGCTCATTTCTAGTTTTAACATGATTTCAAATATTTTGTTACAATTATTTTGAAATGAAGAAGTGCCTTGTATAACACCAGGTAGGTAATTTGGGGGATTTTTTACTGTTTCTAATTATTTCTAATTTATTAAAGACCAGTGACTAATTTCACAAAATATCTTACGAGAAAAAATACTCATAAGTCATGAACGTTTCAGTACAACTTACAATCAATTTTTGTTGTACGATTTTTTGTGAAAGGAGATCCAGAGGCTGATAGGCAGTGTGAGATGTTAATTTTGTTTAATTTGTCAATTTCTAAACCTGAGGCTGTTAATTTGGAAATGTTTGTGTATTATTACTGATAAACATCTCCTTTTACAGGGCATTATATGTATGCAGAAGGCAATGATGGTAACCAGGGAGACCAAGCAAGAATGGCATCCATTTATTTCTTGACAAAAACCAATCAGAGTCTTACATTTTTCTTTCACATGTTTTTCAAACAATACACCAAGACAGGAGGTCTGCAGATAGTCACGAAAGAAGATGGATCAAATATTGAAAATGCCATCTGGTTCCATAATGAATCTTCAGGGGAACCATGGATATCAGGATGTGTGGATTTACCTGCCAATCAGAATCTGTCTATCATTTTCATATCCAATCGGCATTCTCTTTCTATACAGGATGCAGACATAGCTATAGATGATATATCATTAAAAGATGGCTTATGTGGTGAGTGTTGTTGTTTTCAGTGCCATTCTCATGGCATAAAATAGTGACTTTCTACTATATGAATAAAAGATGTGGGGTAGATATAAATGAGACAGCAACCCATTAACAAAAAGTAAACAAAATACAAATGAAATGTCAATGCATATTTGGTCCACCCGGAAACTTTGTTGGAATACATATTCTATACCCTTTATTCTGTCAGGAATATTTGTTCCAGTGGAAATAATATTACAGAATACTTCTCTCATTTGGTACTTATATTATAAAGGAACTTCTATTTCATGACAGAGACAGAAAGTAAACAAAATACTTCTAATTATTCATGATATATAACTCTACTCATACTGAATAACACTTGCGCAGTCAGTCTCTTTTTATTCAGCCTCTCACCATTGGTCACTAGTACATGTACTATGTTTGTATTTACTGTTTTCAGGAACACATAGTGAACCAGATGTTACTACTGCTGAAACACCAACAGAAACAACGCCATCTACAGGTATATACAGAAAATCATGGTGTTATAGATTATAACTTCTTATGTGATTCTTATATGTAGGTCATGAAGGTGGTAATAAAAGAAAGACCCCCCCCCCAGTCTTTTAAGAGGTTCTAATTATGGGAGGTCTTTATTTCTTTATTTAAATGTTACATGCAATTTTCACTATTCTTTGTTTTTTTACCATTATATTCTTTATATTTTAGCACACTATAATTTTATGTTCTTCATTTTTTTTACCTATTTTTCTCTTTTCTTAATTTTTTCCCCTATCTTATTCTTTATATTTTAGCAAGCCATTATTGTCTATTTCTTATTTTTTGCTCACCTGGCCCAAATGGCCAAGTGAGCCTTTTTTCATCACTTGGCGTCTGTTGTCATCTGTTGTCGTTAACTTTTACAAAAATCTTCTCCTCTAAAACTACTGGGTCAAATTTAACCAAACTTGGTCACAACCATCATTAGGGTATCTTGTTTAAAAAATGTGTCCGATGACCTGCCTGCCAACCAACATGGTTAAAATAAAACATAGGGATAAAATGCAAGCTTTGTCTATTATCTTGATAACCCCTATGAATAGAGAAAATCTGACATCGGCAGATATATTCAGAATGATGAGATCTACCATTTGTCCTTTGAAATTAAAACTGTCTGACAACTTTGTCCTTAATCTTCAAATTTTACCAAATTTTATCATTTTTGCCTATTATCTTGAAAACTATAATAGAAAAAGATAAGCTTAAAATTGCAAAAATGATCAGCCCTTTAATGACCCCGCCTGTCATCCAAGATGGCCGACATGGCTGAAAATAGAACATATGGATAAAATGCAAGTTTTTTCTATTATTTTGAAAACCATTATAAATAGAAAAAATCTGACATGGAAAAAATTGTTCTGAATGTTGAGGTCTACCAATTGTCTATATATGTCAAAACTGTCAGACGGCTTCTTTTATGAGTTATTGTCCCTAAATGACAAGTTTTACCATTTTTTAAAATTTTTGTCTATTATCTCTATACTACATAGAGAGAAATTTTAAATTGCAAAAATGATCAGCAAGACAAGTTCTACAATTAAGTGTCATGGTTGAAATTATCAGTTGACTACTTATTAGAGTTATTGCCCTTTGATGATGATTTTTACTAATTTTTTGTGTCTTTGCCTTATTTTTTGAAAAATATAATAGATAGATAGAAACTTAAATTAGAAGAGTGATCAGCAAGACAAGATCTACTATTATGACAATATAGAGAAAATCGTCCGATGACTCCTTATTGGAGTTATTGCCCTTTAATTACTATTTTTACCATTTTATTTGCGTTTTGCCTTATATGATAAAAATTATTAATAGATAAATAGACACTTTAAATCACAAAAATGATCAGCAAGGCAAGATCTGCTTAAACTTTGACGATATAATTAGTAGACTATCACTCTTTATAGGAGTGATTGCCCTTAAATGAGTTTTTTTTACCCTCTTTTGTGTTTTGAGCCAAAAAAAACTAAAGAAGATAGAGAGAAAATAAACTAAAACTAAAGAAGATAGAGAGAAACTAAACAGACTAAATGATCAGCAATTCAAAATCAACAAAACAAGAGATTTTTGTCATAAATTTTATTCTTGTCTACGATATTGGAGAGTGTTCTTTGTTGAATATGCACATAGATCAAGGTGAGCGACACAGGCTCTTTAGAGCCTCTAGTTTTTATAATAATGGTATTATTGCCAATGAGACAACTATTCACCAAAGTTCAAATAAAGTGGATGTAAGCAATTATAGACAACCATATGGCCTTCAACAATGAGAAAAACTCACAGTATAGTCGGCTATAAAAGGCCCTAACATGAAAAATATGAAACAATTCAATTGGGAAAACTAACAGCTTAATTTATAACAAAAGAATTTACGAAAAACAAATATGACAGACATGAACCAAAGACAACCACTGAACTACAGGCTCCTTATTACTTTGGACAGGCACATAAAGAATGTGGGGAGGTTAAACCTCCTTTACCTGGGACATTGGTGTAACAGTACAAGTCTAGTTTTGATGGTTCATTGATCATGTGTTGCAAGGGGGAAGGCCACACCTACTTAATTTATTCGCATCCTAATTGATATGTATTTATTTCAGGTTGTGCGTCAGACGAGTTTACATGTAACAATGGTATTTGTATACCAATATCAAGTCGTTGTGATACTTTTAGCGATTGTATCAGTGGGGAGGATGAGTTAAATTGCAATACTGGATCCTAATATCATGGACTATTTTCTCTGTGGAAGATGATTAACACTGCAATCTTGGACCATATTTCAATGTGGACTATATTTTGTAGCGAAGATGATTCAAATGTTATCATATGATGGTAATATTGGACCATATTCACTTTCTTTTTGAATATTGGTGACCATGGTAGTAAATTGTCTTACCTGTACACTGCAGACTAGGGTAGTAAATTGATCTACCTGTATACTAAGTACTAGGGTAGTGAATCGATCTACCTGTACACTGTGGACTAGGGTAGTAAATTGGTTTATTTGTTTTTTAGAACTATGGTCAGTTGACCCTAAACATAAAAACAGTGCAGATGTACTATAAACATATAAATCATATTTTGAAGCAGACACCCAGTTGCGAATATATAGATTCTACCACTAGTACTGCATCGAGTGTGATACGATATTTATCCACTCGAGACAGTTAAATTTTCAAATTTAAAACGCGAGGCTTGCCGAGCGTTTTAAATATTTAAAATTTAACTGTCGAGAGTGGATAAATATCGTATTACACGAGATTTGGTGGTGGAATCTGTTTCTCTAATGATTTTCAAACAATACGCAGGCAAATTTATTCCTTCTTTTCGAATGATCTGCAAAAAGATGTGTTCTTTCTATGTGACGTCATCAGGCATGGTCGCCTTTTTTCATGCCGTCACAATAGGAAATTCAGAGGAAAGCAAGAAAATTCGACGTCATAATCGAATTTTAACCAATGAATAACTGAGATCAAACGAACCACATTTTTTTATACAATGGGTGCAGAAAGGGATAAATTGACGAAGAATTAGAGAAACATATATATCCTACATCTCAGTTATTTCATATTTGAAAAAATATATTTTTATATACAATACTGTAGATTTATTTATTTTCATGGGTACTGATTTTCTTCACGATTGAGGAAAAATGGTATTTTTTGTGGTTTGGCAAATAGTTGTAATTACAAGTCTATAGTCAATTATTGCTTCGTTGAACATTAAAATTCATGGTCTCCCTGTACCCATGAATTCAAAGAAAATTGGTACCCAACAAATATCAATGAGTACACAGAATTGTTACCCTTGAACTGGTTGACCTGTGAATCCATGACCTAGTTTATGAAATGATTATATGTAAATAAAAATGTAAAAGTGTTGTGATTGTTTACTGCTAATGACATTCAAATTGTTCAGACCTAATCCAGAAAAAATGTAACAGGAAATAATACAAGGTATTTTATTCTCACCATTTGTGAAGATTTAGTGATTTAGCTTTCAAATCTTCAATCTAAACGACTAATCATGAATGCAGGTACATATATGAGGGTCTGGATCAGGTTACAGAATAGAGAAGAATAGAAAAAAATATTAAGAATAGAGAAATATGATTTGCTAAAATCAAAAGAATAGAGAATAATCAGCAAAAAATTAAAGAATTGAAAAAAATAGATGAAGAAAATTAAGGACCCCCTCATCCAGACCCTCATACATAGGCAGTGATTTTACAAAAAAAAATAGATCCCCATTTCAGATTTTTTCGAATATCAAACTCATCTGAGATGTTTATTTTATGTATCCCAATCTAACACACACTAAACAGCTCTTACTGGAATAGTCAGAAATTATTGTGATGTTTTCATTAATTGGGAAAAAGTGATGTGTAAGGATTGCAATGATAAAACTCACATTCATTATTTTAGTAGTGATATTTCTTTTTTATGCAACTGCATTAATTACTGTGGGCACATTTATTTTTGTGGGTACTGATTTCTGTGTATTGAACACTTGCATTTTTCGTGGATATTTGATCTCATGGTTTTGCCGAAGTCTGTATATGTAACCCTGTAGAAAATTTGCAATTCTTTGAAAATTTAAATTGGTTCACCTGTACCCATGAAATCCGCAAAAATTGGTTACCCACTAATCATGATGAATCCACAGTAGATCTGACATTTTCTCCAGCATTCAGTGATACGTAATAATAAATGCACTCAATAATTCTCAATTTACAATACATTGTTTTTTCATTTAATATACAGTGTTTGTACCTCAGTTTGAGATTTTTCAAACACACAATGACAGTTATTTATATTTTCACACATAGCTATGTGTCTATGATTGTGATTTGATCAATTTTCTGTGACATAATATTTGTTATTTTTGTATTTTTTTATATATATATACTTATCATCAATTATATCTATATATTTAAATATATACTCCAGACTACTTAAATGTAATATCATTAACATGATTGATGTAAAATTTATGTGATTTATTCATACATATCATTTATAAATATTTATTTTTCATATGGTTTAAAACCAGTGCTTTCATTATTTTTTGTAACATGTGAGAAGTACAGATATTTAAACATGATTTTTAAAACATTTTGTGACAGATAATATGTCCTTTCATAACACATTTTTATACATAATGTTGTAACATCAAATAACACCACTGCCCAATATTTTTTTCTCACTTACTCGACTTATGAGGGTCTGGATGGGGTTTACAGAAAAGTGAATAATGGGGAAAAGTGTAAAATAAAGGGGAAAAAATATAAAGAATAGAGAAAAAAATGAAAAAAAAAATAAGGACTAGAATCATGTTCTACTAAGAAAAAAAGGGGAAAAAATAATGGGGTGCTGAAATGTAAAGAATAGAGAATAAGGGAAAAAAGAAATAAAGAAAGAGGAAAATGGTCTAAAAAGTTAAAGAATAAAGTGATGAAGGACCCTAATCCAGATCCTCATTTAATCATTTTCTTCCTGAAAAGAAGAATTACATTTTAAATCAAGGCCAAACCAATTTAAGGTTTTATACTTTGTATTTCCTTGCATAAAGTTTGAACAGACAAAAGATTGATTGATTGATGTTTAACGCCACTTTCAACACTATTGTGCTATTTCATGGCGGTTACTTTTTATTGGTGGAAGAAGACGGAGTGCCTGGAGAGAACCACCTACCTTCTGTAGGAAAACTGACAATCCTAGTCTATTGACATTGGAGTCGAGTGCACCTGCCACTAGCGGGATATATTGGAACTCACAACCTCAGTGTTGACTGGCTAGTGATACAGTGGTTTGACTACTTAGACCACTTGGCCACCGAGGCCCCAACAGACAAAAGAACTGAAAGGCCAGTGTTCTTGCTTTTAATATATAAGCCATTTTAATTTTATAGGAAATTATTCTCTCCAGATTTTTCATACATTTAACATTGGCACCTTTTTTCTTTCAAAAACTATGAAAACATAACAAGGATTTTAATAATATTTTCTAAAATTAGTTTTTTAACTGTATGTGATTAAATTATGAAAAAAAAAGTTGGGGTTAGCATCACTTTTATTTATAGCACTACATGGATAAAACCAGAGGATTCCGAATATATGACAAAATGTCAAGATCAAGATCATTCTTAGTTTAAACAATATTTTATTCAAATAAATCAATACATAGTATACAATTCTGATACATGAAATAAATAGGATTCAGAAACAAGCAAAATTGCTTTTATTATTAAATCTGTCCCCTAGTATACAAATACATTTTTTATATGTCATTATTATGTAAATATGGCATATTCTGAAATAGTCTATTTGTTAGAAAGGAAAAAAAAATATGAGATATTAAGGTTTCATTAAAAAAAAGTACTGAATAAACGTGGTAATAGTGTAGAGTAGTAGTGAAGATCATCCTTAAGGGAGTTCACTTTGAAGTTGGGGTATTGACCTAGATTTCAGGGTTAACAAAAAATGAGAATGTGATGGGGTGAGCTGGGCATGTTGTAGTTTGGAATCATATTCTACTAAGAAAATATCTCACATCATTGTAAGAGTTTTTTCCAGAAAAGAGAAATTATGTTTCAACAATAGAAGAGCACCATTTGATTCATATTTTCAGAAAATAAAATAATTTAAATGTTCCTGCCTCACAAATATATTTAAAAAAACAAAATTAAAAACAATGACAATTGGTGTTGACTCTTAAAGTTGAATTATTGCAATTTTGCTACATACAAATATATGTATCAGATATCAGAATGCAAGTTCTTGTTCAAATTATAAATTATTCTAAATAATAAGGATGTTCTTGTCCCAGGCAGAAAACCCTGGCCGTGTTAAGCACAACTTTTTGGAAGTTTTGGTCCTCGGTGCTCTTCAGCTTTGTACTTGTTTTGGCATTCAAACTTTTTTCATCTGATCATCACTGGTTGGTCTTGTGTGGACGAGTCGCACATCTGGCGTATTGAATTTTAAGCCTAGTACCTTTTGTTAGCTATTATTCGTGTGTTTCTTTGTCCTATATGTTCTCCCATTTATTTGTATTGTGGTCCTGTCATGTGATGTTGTCGTTTTGGTGTTGTGTTTGACGTTGCCATAAAAGCAGGAGGTTTGACATGCCACAAAACCAGGTTCAACCCACCATTTTTTTCTTAAAATGTCATGTACCAAGTCAGGAAAATGGCCATTGTTATACTATAGTTCGTTTCTGTGTGTGTTACATTTTTAATGTTGTGTTTTTGTTGTGTCGTAGTTCTCCTCTTATATTTGATGCATTTCCCTCAGTTTTAGATGTAACCCGGATTTGTTTTTATCTCTATCGATTTATGAGTTTCGAACAGCGGTATACTACTGTTGCCTTTATTTATTATTGCAATTCACAAGGAGTCGCATTATTCAGATTAATAAAAAATTGCAATAATTTCTGAATTTACAGTACATTGTATGTCTGAAAATGAAAATTCATATCTGTATGTAGCATTTCCTAAAATTGCAATAATTCAACTCACATGTTTGCTCATTCTTAAAAAATCGCAATAATAAATGCACACAATAATTTCAGAATGTACAGTAATTAATTTTGACAGTGGTAGGTTTTATTCAAATTTTTAATTAGATTTATACTCAGGAAAACTGCGAAGATCATTTAACATTTACATGATTAAAACTCAGTTCAAATAAGGTCTGTGGAAAATCACATTTCCAAAATTTACCAAGAAATTTTATTGGGCTTAATCTTAATTGTTAAGGTGATTTTTATGCCATATACATATTGTAGAATATCATGTTTTTTATATATATTGTTAGAACCATAAAAATGTTGATTTTTTATAAAATATATTGTTCTAAACTCTAATGCCCTATAGACCATTGTCTTCCATGTTACAAGGTTGTAAACACAAGACTTGGGCCTGCTGTTTTCTGGTTTAAACACAAGACTTAGGCCTGCTGTTTTCTGGTGTAAACACAAGACTTGGGCCTGATGTTTTCTGGTGTAAGCACAAGACGTGGGGCTGCTGTTTTCTGGTGTAAACTCAAGACTTGGGCCTGCAGGCCTGCTGTTTTCTGGTGTAAACTCAAGACTTGGGTCTGCTGTTTTCTGGTGTAAACTCAAGACTGTGGCCTGCTGTTTTTTGGTGTAATAAACTCAAAACTTTGGGCTCCTGTTTTCTGGTGTAAACACAAGACTTGGGCCTGCTGTTTTCTGGTGTAATCACCAGACTTGGGCCTGTTGTTTTCTAGAGTAGAAACAAGACTTGAGACTGCTGTTTCCTGGTGTAAACATAAGACTTGAGACTTCTGTTTACTGGTGTAGGTGTAAGAGGTTTATACAGTTGTTAAAATTGTGATTAGGTTAGTTTAACACCGAGTCTACCATTAAACCATGAAAAACAGTTCACAAGGGGGTTATCATATATTGTTGTAACTTTATGTGCTAATACATCATTATAAGGACGTCCTTAAAAAACCATTTTCTCGGGATCTAATGCCTGTTAGTTAGGAGATGCTATACATGGCTGTAACCAGTTTCCACATGTTGAAGGTAGTATTTTATCATAAAAATGACCAATATTTGCACCCTGTAATTTATGAATGGTGCAAACAATGAGATAACGGTTGATTATGTATTGAAAATTTAGTTACACATCAGAACACAAATTTACAAGAAACACTTTGTGGATTATTCCTAGGGAGATAATCCAGTATAAATGAATTCCCAAAATACATAAAAAAATACTTTTTGATCATCCAGCTTTTCAATTGTGTGTAAGAGAAAGAGTTAATAATGCTTTTTATGCCCCATTTATGGACATTATGTTTTTCGGTCTGTGCATCCGTTTGTCCGTCTGTCCGTTCGTTCGTCTGTCCCGCTTCATGTTAAAGTTTTTGGTCAAGGTAGTTTTGATGAAGTTGAAGTTCAATCAACTTGAAACTTAGTACACATGTTCCCTATGATGTGATCTTTCTAATTTTAATGGCAAATTAGAGTTTTGACCCCAATTTCACGGTCCTCTGAACATAGAAAATGATAGTGCGAGTGGGGTATCCGTGTACTATGGACACATTCTTGTTATCTGATGAAATTTGTGAACTCTTGTTTAACTATGTTCTATAATTTCATTAAAAACACCCAAATTTACGATTTCTGTCAATAAATCAATGAATTTAGAATATCAATTTGTACATAATTTTGAAAATTTAAGTGTTATTTTTTTCGAAAGTATAACAATACTTAACAAGGTTACTCAAAATTAACAATGAACATAGTAGAACTACAATATTCGATGCCATGGATATTGATTTTCTAAGGTACAAAGGGAGATAATCCAATTAATGTCCTAGTTAGTTTTACACACGTTTTTGCCTTTTTGTTATACTTTAAGCAGCACTCGTTTATAAAGTCTTGCAGGTATAGATTGCATTTTATACCTGTTTGTTTATTCAGATCTTCGTTTGTATTTCCTATGATAATTTGATGGGTTTCATTGTATTTTTGGTAGAGCTCATATGATTGATCAATTATGTTTTGGTATTCTGATAGATGGTTTTTACTCCCTTTCATTGATGTTAAAAGTATGTTGGTGTTTGAGATTTTCTTGATTTCTATACACTGTATTCATTCTGACCATAGGTCTATTGGTTTTATCATGTGATTAAAATGGTTACTTCTCTGTATCCTCGAGGCATAATATTGGTTATAGCGAATCATTCATATTAACCCCCTTGCATATATAGTTTATATGTTCATTAAGTTCACCGAGTAGATGTATCTGTGTTTTGAACAACAAATGCTCCTGAATGAGGATTATATCATTAATTTGTAAGTTTATGTATTATTGGTCCATACCGTCCATGTGTTATTATGTTTTTACAGTTGAGACAAGGTTTAGTTGAGAAAACTCTGAATTTTTTACGCCTGTTTCTTATGTTACATACGGTTTAGGTTGAGGCTTTGTAGTACTAAAAATGCTGTTGTACTGAAGTTGAAAAAGTATTTCTATTGCCTCTAAGTTCTTGTTTATTTTGCGTTGCAGAGTATGATGCTGTATTTGGCCACAGGATGTTGATATTGATGGTGAGCAGTATGATAGTCTATATTTTACTTATTGCCTGCATATCTCGTTGTTTGCATCGGCGGTGGGATATTATAATGAATACCTTTCTGTTTTGGTAGTTACGGGTCTGCTGCCTATTTTGTAGCTCAGTGGTTGCCCAGTATGACTCTGGTTTAGGTTATTGAAACTATATTTTCGGTTTTGGTATGATTTATAGTGTTTTCAGCTTGCCTACTTCTGTCTGTCTTTGCTGATTGCCATCAAAGAGCATAAACTTGTCGAGCTGTCCATCCGTTTCGTCCAGTACGATGTTTAATAATTTTGTATGGAGATTTGCTAGGTTTTGATCAGGCTCTTCTTTCAGATTACAGTAGACGTCCTGACTATTAGTTGGAACTTCACGTTTGTTGGGTGAAGAAGCGGCTGTCAGACTCGATCTTTCTTTGAGTAGTTTAACAGTTTGTTCTTATTTGAAGTTCCTGGCTTCTAAATGTTGACATTTTAGCGATATTCCCTTAATCTAATATGCTCTTCTGCTTTTTAAACTTTGCCAGACAATACCAAGATACTTCTCTTGCTCTTAGTTCGCTAAATTTAGATAGTGTTGGATCGTCTAAGTTGTTTTGTTTTATATGGGTTTATGTATTGGCTTTGGATTAGCTGGTTGTGTTGACTCCTCATAGCAAAATCGAATTTTTTTGCTTTTCTCCCTAATATTCCTGTGGGGGTTACAATACCTAGATCTAGTTTTCTTTCAGCTTAAGTTCTTCTTGGAGTATGGTAGAGGGTATGCATATGTATGTTTCTTTTATTTCGGCCATACATTTGATGTGGCATTTATTATTACAATATTCGCATATGTCCCTGGCTGGATCTATAAGTATAGTGTCACATACTGCACAATTCTCCTCTGGTTGGCGGTTTGTTGGCGTTTCATCTTTGTTGTTACACACTTTCAATAATTCGGTTTCTTCTTCAATGAAAGTAGTTGCTGAGCATGGGTGTTACTCTGTGTGCACCCCTTCAAAGCCAGGAGGCTAGATTTTGCTTCACAACATAGTTTGCATTCATAGTACTCCTCGCCGTTCTATTAGTTTCTGGTATTTATACTCTTGTTCTATTAGTTTCTGGTATTTATACTCTTGTTCTATTAGTTTCTGGTATTTATAGTGTACCCAATGATTTTCAGTATCGTGTTTCTAGTTCTACACTTTTTGTTACATTTGGTACATGTTTCATTGTCGTTATCTGTATTTGGCTAAGATTGGTTTTGGGTGTATACAGTCTAAGTAGAACTGGTAGTTGATAAACTGTTGACATGGTTTGTTCTTTCCCCTTTTTACTTGTTTGCTTGCTGAGCAAAGGAGATTGTTCATTAAAAGAAGAGTTTAATTCCTGTATTTGTGTTTTTAAACTGACTTTGTTTCTTTAATTCTTGGTCCTGCTTGATTCGGTCTTCGGATGGTGACTTCTTGTTATGATTGTTCCATTTAGTTATAGAATAGTCAGGAATTTCGATAAAAGTTATATTAGAATTAGGATATGGCTGTAGCAGTAGTTTGAATTTCTTTAAATTTTCAAATAATTTTTTTTTAAGTATCTTGGTATTGTCTGGCTCAGGATATTGTGCGGTCTTTATTCTTGATTGTAAGGTCACAGGTTCCAAGGCAAATATAGAGATGAATGTTTCCTAATTGAATTATTATGCTTTCAACATTTTTCTCTAGTCAGTGTATGGAATTTTGTATACTGGTTCCTCTTTTGTTCCACCAGATAATTTGACGGTCTTCTACATGGTGGACATAGTCTTTTAGGTAGACCACTATTTTGTCGGAAAGTATGACGGGTCTCAAGAACCTTTTCCCTACTGTTGAAGATCTTAGGGTTTGCAAGTAGTCTCGGATTTTCTTTTCAGACATGTTCACAAGGATTGTTAATTACATTGGGGCTGGGGTTGGGGATGAAGGTAAATATGTGCTTTATAAATTTATAGATATATATTGCTGGTTGTGTTTATATTATTCTGGTTAAGAAATAGTTACTTGGATTTGCCTTTTTTCCAATATGGCGGCTGACCGCCTTGGTGGTCAATCCGTTGTAAATCGTTTCATACACTACTTAGAGGTTTGTGGGTGGGTTATTTTTGTGAATAGAACAATGACAGTGTTCTAGTGCTTTTAACAGCTACTTATTGGACAACAAAGTCCCATTTCACCACTAAAAACTTTGATTTTTGTCGAGTCTGCAACATTTATGTCACGAAAGCGAGACATAGCGATACTAGAATCCGTCGTCGACGTCAACATTTAGGTTCAGTCTGTGGTTAAAGTTTTTTTTATGCATCAATAACTTTGTCAAACATTCATGGAATTTTAGGAAATTTGGACAGAAGATTGTATATAACAAAAATACAGTATTCAGAGCAAATTTTGAAAATGTTTAGTTTCATTTTTCCGTATTTTACTGATAAATGTAGCACTAGCATCAGTTAATTATGTAAAATTACTGAAATCTTCACAATTTTAGCATTTGTGCTAATTTTTAGACGGTTTTTTAAAATGGAAGTGACCGCACTTCTGTTCAGTCTTAATATTTAAATAAATGTTGTATTTGATGGTACAATATCAAGAAACTGCAGCTTCTTTCCTAAATATACTTCTATCCGACAGTCTCTTGGCTGGTTTAACATTCCCGACGTGTTTTGTTTACTTTTCTTACATAATTTCCCCTCTTTCACATATTGATAAGTTTGTTTCTTATGTGTATTGCTTCTTTCCTCT